AGGACGCGCGCGACGGCCTCGTGGCGCGCCGACGGCGCCGACGGCCGCCGCCGCCACTCGCGCCGCGCCGCGGCCGCGAGCGCCGGCGGCGCGGCCGCGTCCGCGGCGTCCGTCGACGCCCCCGCCGCGCTCAGCGCGAGCCGCGCGTGGTAGAAGGCCCGGAGCCGCTGGCGCCGCGCCGTGGGCCGCGCGCCGACGGCGTCGTCGCCGCCGCCGCGGTCGTCGCCGACGGCGTCCGCCGCGAGCGCGGGCGCGACGGCCGCGAGCGCGTCCGCGGCCGCGGCCGCGTGCGCGGCCGAGACGTGCGCGACGCAGGCCGCCGCCCACGCCGCGGAGATGAGCGACGACCGGTCGCCGGGGCTCGGCTCGGGCCGCCGCGCGGCGTCGAGCACGGCGGGGGCGGTCAGCAGCGCCCGCAGCAGGTCCGCGGCCGGCGGCCGGTCGAGGCGCGCGGCGGCCCAGAGCACGTCCGCGACGTCCCGGAGCGCCCAGCGCGCCGTCCCCCGCGCCGCGGCGCCGAGCGCGGCGTCGACGACGGCCGGCGCGTCGACGCCCGCCGACGCGAAGGCCGCGACGGTCTGGGCCGCGTCGCGCGGCGGGAAGGCGGCGTCGACCCTCGTCGCGAGCGCGCGGAGCGCCGCGCGCGACGACGCCTGCGCGCGCCACTCCGCCTCGCCGAGCCGCGCGCAGGCCCAGGCGCACGCGGCGACGTCGCGCGGCCGGAGGCCGTCGCAGCGGTCCGCCACGGCGTCGAGGAGCGCCGTCGTCGCCGCGAGCGCGCCGCCGGCGTCGTCGTCGCCGTCGAAGGGCAGCGCGCGCCGCGCGGCGCCGAGGCCCCAGAGCACGTCCGCGGCCTCCTTGGGGCCGTAGCGGTCCAGCCGCGGCGCCGCGGCGCCCGCGAGCGCGACGGCCGCGGCGCCCGCGCGGTCGAAGAAGGGCTCGTCGCCGCGCGCGGCCACGACGCTCGAGCCGCAGGCCCACGCGGCCATCGCGACCTCGTGGCCGCTCCGCCAGTCGCGCTCGCCGGCGATGCCCGCGAAGACCGCGGCGAGCGCGCCGCGCCGCGCGCCCTCGTCGCCGGACCGGGGCCGCTTCATGACCGCGAGCGCGCGCGCGGAGTTGGCGAGCTGCCGCGGCCTCATGCGCGGCGCGGCCTCGGCGCACGCGACGAAGAGCGCCGCGCGCGAGCCGCCGCCGCAGCCGTCGCGCGACGCCCGGTGCAGCGTCGCGGCGACGTTGACCTCGTTGGCCTCGTCGACGCGCTCGTAGAGCACCTCGCAGGCCTCGTCGGCCGTCGGGCAGTCCGATAGGGTGCGCTGGAGCTCCCGCGACAGGTGGGGCTTCGAGTCCCAGCGGCGCGTGCTCGACAGCGCGTTCGCGAGCGTGACGACGACGGCGAGGCGCATGGGTGCGTCGAGGTGCGCCGCGTCGCGACGAGCGCTCGAGGGCGCCGCGTCGCTGCGGACGACGAAGCACGACCTCGTGCGGCTCGGCTCAGGCTCAGAGTCGCTCGAGGTCGGCAAGATGATGGCAAGTGCCGCAAGTTGCCGCATATAGTGAAGTGCCGCAAAACCCCTAGCGTCGCGGCTGCCCCGACAGGAATTTGCGACAGCCCCAGCATGGGCTAGGAAAAAGCCAAGCACACCATGCTGGGAGCGCTCTTTGTCGCCGCTCTCGCGGCCGCGAACCCCACGCCTACGCCGACGTCCGCGCCGACGTCGGCGCCGTCGGCGCCGTCGTCCTGCCCGACGGTGGCGCCGACGCTGTCGCTGGCCCCGACGCGGGTGCCGACGTCCCGGCCGTCGCCGGAACCCACGACGTCCCTGCCCTCGCCCGCGCCGTCGTCCTGCCCGACGGCGGCCCCGACGATGACCAAGGCGCCGACGCGCCAGCGGCGCAACTGGGCGGCGACCGGCCTTGAAATCGGCGTCGACTACTCGAGCGCCGCGATCTGCGCCGACTACCTCGCCTTCGGCCGCCAGCTCAACTGGGGCGGCACGCCGGGGCTCGTCCTGAACGACAACCTCTTCAGCTGGGATGGCAGCGACCTCTTCAACCCCTACTACGTCGTCTACGAGATGAGCGGCCCGTACTACGAGGCGAACTACGCGCGAAACGAGAATGGCATGTCTATCGAGCTGACCGGCGACGCGCGGACGTCCAAGCTCTACGACATCGGCGCCGAGATCATGGACCATTTCCACGAGTGTTCCATGACGTTGAACTGCGCCGCGCGGACCTGGTACCTCCCCATACGGCAGAGCAGTTCGACGTGGTCCCGGTTTTGGAACGTCGGCATGTGCGGCGGCGGCGTCGAGATCAACAGCGACCAGTACCAACGTGGCGTCTGCTGGTGCCCGACTGCGAGTTACGCAGCTGGTGGTTCCTTCCACTCCAAGATGATACGGCCCTGCAGCTCCGCGACCGGCGGCTGGGACGACACGAGCGGCTGGGACCCAAACTTCGTCCGCGGGAACAGCTGGGGCGCGTGCGTCAGCCAACTCGCGACGGTCTGGGACGGGCTGTCCATCAACGTCGACTTCGGGCCGTCGTCCGCGCCGACGACGTCCGCGCCGTCGGTGACGCCGAGCCCGTCGCCGGTCCCGACGACGCCGCCGAGCCCGGCCCCGAGCTCGGCGCCGACCGCGCCGCCGACCTCGTCCCCGACCATCAGCCTCAGCCCGTCGAGCGCGCCGTCGAGCGCGCCGAGCGCGGCGCCGTCGAGTCCGCCGTCGCCGGCGCCGAGCGCGGCGCCGTCGAGCGCGCCGAGCGCGGCGCCGTCCGCGGCGCCGTCGCCGGCGCCCAGCGCGCGGCCCTCCTCCCTCCCGAGCGCGCCGCCGTCCGCGGCGCCGTCGCCGGCGCCCAGCGCGTGGCCCTCCTCCCTCCCGAGCGCGCTGCCGTCCGCGGCGCCGTCGCCGGCGCCGAGCGCGTGGCCCTCCTCCCTCCCGAGCGCGCTGCCCTCCGCGCCGCCGTCGCCGGCGCCGAGCGCGGTCCCCACGGGCATGCCGCTCCCCTATCCGACGCTCGCGCCGTCGCCCTACCCGACGCCGGCCTGCGACGCGGACGCGCACCTCTACCGCCTCGCGCTGTCCGGCGCGGGCTGGGCCGCGGGCGCGGCGTTCGTCTTGGACCACCGCGACCCGGCGGAGGCCCTCGTCGTCGAGGGCGGCCTCGACGCCTTCGGCGGCGCCTACGCGCGCGGGGCCACGGTCGCCACGGGCGACGGCGCCGAGGTCTTCGTCTGCCTCTGGGACGGCTGCTACGACCTCTCCGTCCGCGGCAACGCCACGGCGCCGGCGCGGCTCGACTTCCGCGACGCCGACGGCCACCGCTTCGCCTGCGACGGCGTCGGCTGCGCCGAGAGCTTCTGCGCGCTCGCGGGGGACCTCTACGACCGCCCGACGGTGGCGCCGACCGTCGACCCGACCGCGCGGCCCACGGCGGCGCCGTCGACCGCGCCGACGGCCGCGCCGTCGCCGGCGCCCACCGCGGACCCCTCGCGCGCGCCGACGGCGGGGCCGTCGTCGTCGCCCACGGCGCGCCCGTCGGCGGCGCCGAGCGCGGCGCCCAGCGCGTCGCCCTCCGCGTCGCCGAGCGCGCCGCCGACGCCGCGGCCGTCCGCCGCGCCGACGACGACGCGCGCGCCGACGGCGACGCCGACGACCGCGGCGCCCTCGGTGCCGCCGACCGCCGCGCCGTCGCCCCAACCCTCGACCGCCGCGCCGTCGTCGTCCGGCGCGCCGTCCGCGACGCCGACGCCCGCGCCGTCGACGGCGTCGCCGAGCGCCGCGCCGACCGCGGCGCCGACCTCCGTCCCGACCGCGATGCCCGCCCCGCGGCCGACCGCCGCGCCGACGGCGTCCCGCGCCCCCTCGGCGGCGCCGACGGCGCCCTTCCCGCCCGCGGACGACGGCCCCGTCGACGTCAGATTGGAGGCGCCCGGCGCCGTCGGCTCCTGCGACGCTCTGACCGTGTCCGCGGCGTCGTCGACGGGCGGCGGCGGCCGGCCCCTCGCCTACGCCTGGGCCGTCGTCGCGACGCCCGCGGGCCAGGGCTGCGCCGCGGCCGTCGCGGCGGCGCTCGGCGACGCGGAGTCCGCCTCCGTGCCGCCGGCGACCATGGCCGCGTGCCGCGGCCGTTCGCTCGACGTCACGGCGACGGCGACGCGCTTCGACGGCGCCGCGGGCTTCGCGACCGCGGCCGCGCGCGTCGACACGGCGCCCCTGCCCGGCCTCGCGATCCTCGGCGGCGCGGTGCAGACCGCGCGGCCCGCGGCCGGCGTCCGCGTCGCGGCCGTCGCGACCGCCGCCGCGTGCGCCAATTCACAGACACCCACCTCCAATGCACTGACTTTCTCCTGGAGCGGCTCCCTGGTGCGCGACGGCGCCGTGGTCGCCCTCCCGCCCTCGGCGTCCCTCGACGGCCGCGTCTACGAGACCGCGGACGTCCGCGCGGGCGACGTCTTCGACCTCGCCGTCGCCGTCTCCGACGGCCAGCGCCGCAACGAGGCCGCGGCGACGGTGACGACGGCCGCCTCGGCGCTCGTCGCGGCCATCGCCGGCGGCGACCGCACCGTCGACGGCGGCGACGCCGTCGTCCTCGACGCGTCCGCGAGCTGGGACCCCGACGACGCCGCCGCCGCGCTCGCGTTCCGCTGGGACTGCGCCGGCGCGGACGTCGCGGGCGCCGTCGCGTCCTTCGCCGCGTCGGGCCTCGCGCCCGGCGCGGCGAAGACCTGCGCCGTGACCGTGTCGTCGGCCGACGCGCGCGAGGCGACCGCGACCGCGACGATCGCGCGGCGCGACGGCGCGGCCGCGGTCGCGGCCGCCGTCGTCGGCCAGCCCGCGGCCCGGGTCAACCCGAGCGCCAAGCTCGTGCTCGCGGGCGACGCGCCCGCGGGCGACCGCGCCTGGACGCTCGACGCCGGCGTCCTCGCGGGCGGCGCGAGCCTCGACGCCGCGGCGCTCACGCGCCTCGACGCGGCGTCGCTCGCGCTCGCCGCGGGCGCGCTCGCGCCGGGCGCGTCCTACGCCTTCACGCTCCGGTCCGGCGCGGGCGCGGCGACCGTGCGCATCACGACGAACGCCCCGCCCTTCGCCGGGACCCTCGCCGCGTCGCCGTCCGCGGGCGTCGCGCTCGCGACGCCGTTCTTCTTCGCCGCGCGCGGCTGGACCGACGACGCGGGCGACCTGCCGCTGAGCTACGGCTTCGGCCTCCGGAGCGCGACGGGCGACGCGCCCCTCCGCGCGCCGGGCGCGTCGCCGTCGCTCGGCGGCGTGGCGCTGCCGCCGGGCAACGCGTCCGCGTACGTCGACGTCGCGGACGCGTACGGCGCCGCGACGACGGCGTACGCGGCCGTCGCCGTGCGGCGCGGCGCCTGGACCGCCGCGTCCCTCGCGACGGCGAGCGACGCGGCGCTCGGCGTCGCGCTCGCGGCGCGGGACGCGGACCGCGTCTGCCAGGCGGCCCTGGCCATCGCCGGCCTCGCGGGCGACGTCGCCGGCGCCGACGCCGTCCGCGGCGACGTCCTCAAGGCGCTCGTCGGCGCCGCGGCGCTCTCCGAGGCGACGGCCGCCGCCGCGGGCGCGCTCGCCGCCGCCGTCGCCGCGGCGGCGACGCCGGACCTCGACGACGACGCCGCGCGCGACGCCGCCGTCGTGGTCGGCGACGCGGCGGCCGTGGCTTCAACCGCGGGCCTGGACGCCGCGACGCGGACCCACCTCGTCGACGCCGTCGGCGCGCTGCTCGAGACCTCCGCCGCGGACGCCGCGGCGACGGCGCTCGACGCCGTCGGCGCCGCGACGCTCCTCGGCGCCGTGCCCGGCGAGCGGGCCGTGTCGACGTGCGCCGCGCAGCTCTGCGTCGCGTCCGCGCGCGACGCGGCCCTCGCGACGCCGTCCGTCGCGGCGGCGGCGCGCGGCGACGTGACGCTCGTCGAGTACGCCGTCGACCGCCGCGGCGCGGCCAACTTGACGGACGCGCCCGTCGCTCGCGTCCACGTCGGCGGCGGCCGGCGGCGCGCGGCCGCGGCCGGCGGCGTCGTCCGCGTGACCTTTGCGCACCCGGCGCGGAGTCCCGAGAACGAGGCGCTCCTCCGCAACGAGTCCGTGGACTGCGCCGCGCGCGACGACGTCGTCAACGGCACGTCGTGCGGTGTGGACGTCGACTGCTCCCTCTTCGAAGGTTTCGTGAACCCCTGCGCGGCCGGCGCGGCCTGCCTCGCCTACGAGGACGCGGCCTGGGGCTCCTCCGGCGCCTGCCGCGCCGTCAACGCCACGGCGAACACGACGACGTGCGCCTGCGCGGTCGACGAGCGGCGCTCCGTCGAGGTCGTGCCGAGCTCCGAGATCGTCGCGCGCGAGTTCGCGGCGGCGTTTCGCAACGACCCCCTGGCCCTGGGCAAGACGCGCCTCGTGCTCTACACGCTCGCGGCGCTCGCGGGCGTGCTCGTCCTCGCGACGCTCTGGGGCTACCGCGAGGACCGCAACGACCACGAAAAGACGAACGAGCCCGCGGAGACGCTCGAGCCGCTCACGCCGCTGCGCACGCGGGACCGCGCGGTGCAGAATCTGAACGAGTCGCTGCCGAGCTGGGCCCGCGTGAAGAACGCGCGGACGTTCTTCGCGCGACTGCGCGATGAGCACGCGTTTTTGGGGTACGTGCTGGCCTACGACGAGGTCCGGCCCCGGCCGCTCCGCGCGCTCCACCTCTTCACGGACTACCTGTGGCTCTACGCCGTCGAGGCGGCGCTGTTCATCGTCGCGTTCCCGGACATGGGCTGCGACCGCTACGTCTACGAGGCGCCGTGCCTCGAGCCGACGAACGCGTACTTCCCCGCGGTCAAGGCCTGCCAGTGGCGCGGCGCGGACGTCGAACCGAGCTGCGCGCCCAACGCGACGGAGGGCGCCTCCATCTTCACCTACGTCTTTCTGCTGTTGGTCGTGTCGTCGATCATGGTGCCGCTGTCGTCGGTTGTCGCGCATTTGGTCGACGTGCTCGTTTCGCCGGGCGCGTCGAGCGCGAAGGTCGAGGTCGGCGGCGGCGGCGACGAGACGTTGAAGACCGTCGACGAGGAGGCGCCCATGGGCGACCGCGTCGACTTCGTCGTGCGGGAGACCACGGTCGCGCTGCGCGCGCGGCGCGCGGAGCTGCAAAAGGCCGTCGAGACCGGCGCGGCGTCGCCGAAGACGTTAGCCCGCTTCGAGGTCGCCCGGGGCTTCAAGCCCAAATATACCGTCACCTGGCGGCGCCTCTTCTACCGGGGCGAGACGGACGACGAGCGCTTCGCGCGGAAGACGCGGCGGTCCGTCCGCCGCGATTTGCAGCGGGCGGACCGCTACCTCGCGGAGTTCGAGGGCCTCAACGACGACGAGCAGTCCAAGCTCCTCGGCGAGTACGCGCGCCTCGAGCAGCTCTCGCCCCTGGAGCAGCGGATTTATTTAAAGAACCGCGCGGAGGACGTGCTCGACGAGCACGCGGCCGAGGACCTGCCGCCGGCGACGCGCGCGGGGCGAGCGCTGGCGCTCGTTCTGTTCATCGCCGCCGTCGCCTTCCCGCTCTACTACGTGCTCGTCGCCTTCCAGCACATCGCGGCGTCCTCGAAGGCGACGTCGCGCGAGTGGCTGAAAGGCGTGTCCTTGGCCGTCGTGTGCGACATCTTCCTGTACTCCCCCGCGCACGTCGCGTTCTTCAACGTCTACCTGCCGTCGCTACTGCGCACGCGCCTGCGGTCCCTGGCGGACCTTCGGGGGCCGAGCGACTTTGAGTTCGCGACGCCGCTCCGCGAGGGCGCGGCGGCTCACGTCGCCGCCCAGAAGAAGCACCTGCCGCTCGCGGCCCTCGTCCTCGCGGCCCAGCCCAAGCCCGCCAGCGAGGCGACGGCGGCGGCCGCGCCGCGGCGGAACGCGGGCGTCGCCGTCGCCGTCTGGGCCGCGGTGCTCCTGCTCCCGGAGCTGCTCCAGGACCTCGTCGTCGACGAGCTCATCGTCGCCGGCGTCTCCGCGCTCATGGTGCTGGTGGTGGAGGTCGGCCAGCTCGCGTCGCGCGACGCCCTGCGGCTCCTCGACCGCGTCGGCCTCGCGGTCTGGCTCGCGTCGCTCGTGGGGGGCTTCGTCGCGGTGGTCGCGGTGGCGGCCGCGTGCCGCCGGTGCTACGCGCGCGACGAGGCCTTCTCCGTCTTCCCCGACTTCCTCTTCCCCAAGAGCCCCCAGCAGCGGCCGTCGCTCTGGGCCGCGCCCGAGGAGACCTTCACGCCGCTCCACAAGATCGGCGCGTTCTTCGAGGACGACGTCGTCGGCGACGATCGCGACGACGACGGCGACGCGACGCCCCTCGTGTCCCCGCGCTACAAGGCCGACGAGACGCGCCCGCCGAAGCGCCTCGGCGCCGCCGACTACAAGGCCGACGAGGCGCGCCAACCGACGCGCCTCGGCGCCGCGGCCAAGCTCGACCTCCTCTCCTTCGACGGGCCGCTGTCGCCGGAGCAGCAGCAGTGCGACGCGCTGCGGAAGACGGCGGAGACGGAGCTCACGCGCCTCGAGGCCCACGCGGAGCGCCAGCGGCGCACGTCCCACGACCGCCTCGAGCGCCGCCTCCACAAGACCGAGCGGGCCCTGTCGCCCGCGGAGGCGCGCGACGCCGAGGCCCAGCACCAGCGCACGCTGGAGCGCGTCGCGGGCAGGGGCGGCGAGTCTGCGACTTCGACGCTGCCCTAAACTTATATATAGTTTGCACATGGCTGATACCACTAAGGGAGTGATCCGCCGCGACGACGACGCCAAGGCCGAGCGCGACTCGCCCGCGCGCAAGCGCAGCATCTCGGGCTCGGGCGACGGGTCGGCGTAAAGATTGTTAGGCTATAGTCCTCGCGCGTCGAGTTCCGCGAGGGCCTCTATAGCTCGCTTGTCGCCCTTGGCAGCGGCGCGCTCGAACCAGCATCTGGCTTTGCCGAGTTCGACTTCCGTGCCTTCTCCGTCCCTGTGACAGCAGCCAAAGTTGAACTCTCCAACGGTAAGGCCTTGATCCGCCGCGAGCGCGTAGTACCGGAACGCTTCTTCAAATCTCTCTTCAGAAACAAGTAGAATCCCTAAATTGATTTGCGCGAACGCTTCGCCCCGGTCTGCGGCCGTGCGATACAGCCGCTCCGCCTTCTTCTTGTCAAGCTTGACGCCACTTCCAGTGTGGTACAATCCAGCAAGGTTTGCCATCGCGTCCACGTTCCCGAGCTCCACGGCGCGCTTCCAAATCTTCGCGGCTTTCTTATCGGATTTCACGAGGCCGTAGTAACCTTCGCGGTACGCACTTCCCAAAGACGAAATTGCTTCCGGCACCTCGTTCTCCACATGGCGGCGAAGACGCGCGAGTTCTTCCGCATGGTCTTCTGCGCACGGTATGCGACAGAGGGGACACGCGCCGGTGCCGATCTTGTCCTGGCACGACTCGCAGACCATCCGGCAGCAACAGACGCGAAACACGCCCGCAGCATTCACGTCCCACTCCTCGAGGCAGATCGGGCACCGCGACCCGTACCGCGCCGACGTCGGCTCGGGCTCCGGGTTCGCCTCGCGCCGCGCGCGAGCGGCCTCGTGTTCCGCCGCGATGCGCGCGCGGACCTCGTCGGCGTGCGACCGCGGCGCGGGGCCGTAGAACACGTCCCGCGGCGGCGACGGCGCGCGCGTCGGCGCTTCCGCCGCGCGCTCGCTTCGGATCTTCTTGCACGCCTTCCGGTGACCCCGCTCGCGCCAATCGATGCGTTGGCATTCAGTCGAACAATACTGCGTAGTTCCGCACGGACACTTCAGCAAAGTTCTCGGTTTCGCCCCACAAATTGTGCACGTCAAACGCAGCTGTAGCGCTTTCGCCCGCGCCTTCTTCTCTTCGTATTCGCGCTGCTTCTCGACGTACTCGGCCTTCATGATCGTTTGCGGGGCGGCGCGCGTATACTTGTTGGGGGCGCAAGAGGGGCTCGATCACGCAAGGGCAAAATCGCTCATGGCCGCTGGCTTAGGCCTGGCCTGGAGTCGCTTACTGCTAGCCCGGGCCTAGCCGAGACCCACGGGGGAACCGGACTCTCGCTGGGCGTGGTATGGGGCACTTAGGCCGATCCTCCCGATCGTGCTCCCGCTCCCCGCTCCACTACCCTAGCCCTTCCCTTTGATTCTCCATGCCCCCCTCGGCGGCGTCGTCGGCCTTGTGCCAGGTGGGCGTCGCGTTCAAGAACGCCAGAATCCAGACCGCGAAGGTCGGCGCGGAGAGGAACGCGGCGACGACGACGCCGAGGCCAAGCACGACGCGCCCGCGCGCAAGCGCAGCATCTCGGGCTCGGGCGACGACGCGGCGTAAAGATTGTTAGGCTATACTTGCGCGGTCAAGGCGCGCGAGGTTCGCTATAGCATGCTCGTCGCCCTTGGCAGCGGCGCGCTCGAACCAGTATCTGGCTTTGCCGAGGTCGACTTCCGTGCCTTTACCATTCCAGTAAAAGCAGCCAAGGGAAGCCTCCGCATAGGTACTTCCTTGATCCGCCGCGAGCGCGTAGTAACGAAACGCTTCTTCGGATTTCTCCTCAGAATGAAGTAAAAACGCTAAGCTGGTTTGCGCCCGTGCATCGCCCCGATCCGCGGCCATTCGAAACAGCCGCTCAGCCTTCTTCTTGTCCAGCTTGACGCCACTTCCAGTCACGCGCAATTCCCCAAGTCGTACCATCGCGTCCACGTCGCCGAGCTCCACAGCGCGCCGGTAAATCTTCGCGGCTTTCTTATCGGATTTCGCGAGGCCCATCCGACCGTGGCGGTACGCACTTCCCAAAGACGAAATCGCTTCCGGCACCTCGTTCTCCACATGGCGGCGAAGACGCGCGAGCTGCTCCGCATCGGTTTTCGCGTGCGGTATACGACAGAAGGGACACGCGGCTTCGATCTTGTCCTCGCACGATTGGCAGACCCTCCGGCAGCAACAGGCGCGAAGCACGCCCGCAGCATTTACGTCCCACTCCTCGAGACAGATCGGGCACCGCGGCCCGTACCGCGCCGAGAGCGGCTCCCGCTCCGGCTTCGCCTCCCGCAGGGCGCGTGCGGCCTCGTGCTCCGCCGCGATGCGCGCGCGCACCTCGTCGGCGTGCGACCGCGGCGCGGGGCCGTAGAACACGTCCCGCGGCGGCGACGGCGCGCGCGTCGGCGCTTCCGCCGCGCGCTTCCGGATCTTCTTGCACGCCTTCCGGTGGCCCCGCTCGCGCCAGTCGATCCGTTGGCATTCAGTCGAACAATATTGTGTCGTCCCGCACGGACACTTCAGCAAAGTTCTTGGTTTCGCCCCACAAATTGTGCACGTCAAACGCAGCTGTAGCGCTTTCGCCCGCGCCTTCTTCTCTTCGTATTCGCGCTGCTTCTCGACGTACTCGGCCTTCATGATCGTTCGCGGGGCGGCGCGCGGGGTGTGGGGCGCAAAGAGGGCCTCGATCGCGCAGGGGCAAAATCGCTCAAAATCTGACCTAGGAGGCCTAAATCCACCCCTAGGCATTCGAGAGCATCGCGCTCATGTCGTTCTCCATGCCCCCCTCGGCGACGTCGTCGGCCTTGTGCCAGGTGGACGTCGCGTTCAAGAACGCCAGGCACCAGACCGCGAAGGTCGACGCGGAGAGGAACGCCGCGGCGACGACGACGCCAAGGCCAAGCACGACTCGCCCGCGCGCAAGCGCAGCATCTCGGGCTCGGGCGACGACGCGGCGTAAAGATTGTTAGGCTATACTCCTCGCGCGTCGAGGTGCGCGAGGTTGTGTATAGCATCCTCGTGGCCCTTGGCAGCGGCGCGCTCGAACCAGTATTTGGCTTTGCCGAGGTCGACCTCCGTGCCTTCTCCGCGGCTGTAACAAAGGCCAAGGTTGAACTCTCCAGGGGTATAGCCTTGATCCGCCGCGAGCGCGTAGTACCGGAAAGCTTCGTCAAATTTCTTCTCAGCATCAAGTAAAAACCCTAACCTGTTTTGCCCAGCCGCGGAGCCCCGATCTGCGGCCATGCGAAACAGCCGCTCTGCCTTCTTCTTGTCCAGCTTGACGCCACTTCCAGCCTCGTGCAATTCCCCAAGATATACCATCGCGTGCACATCTCCGAGCTCCACGGCGCGCTTCCAAATCTTCGCCGCTTTCTTATCGGATTTCACGAGGCCGAACCAACCTCGGCTGTACGTGTCTCCCAAAAACGCAATTGCTTCCGGCACCTCGTTCTCCACATGGCGGCGAAGACGCGCGAGCTCCTCCGCACTGTCTTTTGAACACGGTACACGACAGAGGGGACACGCGCCGAATCCGATCTTGTCGTTGCACGATCGGCAGACCGTCCGGGAGCAACAGACGCGAAACACCGGCGACCCATTCACGTCCCACTCCTCGAGGCAGATCGGGCACCGCGACCCGAGCCGTGCCGAGGCCGGCTCCCGCTCCGGGTTCGCCTCGCGCCGCGCGCGCGCCGCGTCGTGTTCCGCCGCGATGCGCGCGCGCACCTCGTCGGCGTGCGACCGCGGCGCGGGGCCGTAGAACACGTCCCGCGGCGGCGACGGCGGGGGCGTCGGCGCTTCCGCCGCGCGCTCGCTTCGGATCTTCTTGCACGCCTTCCGGTGACCCCGCTCGCGCCAGTCGATCCGTTGGCATTCAGTCGAACAATACTGCGTAGTTCCGCACGGACACTTCAGCAAAGTTCTCGGTTTCGCCCCACAAATTGTGCACGTCAAACGCAGCTGTAGCGCTTTCGCCCGCGCCTTCTTCTCTTCGTATTCGCGCTGCTTCTCGACGTACTCGGCCTTCATGATCGTTTGCGGTGCGCGGCGACAGTGTCGGGGCTCGATCTCGCAGGGTAAAATCGCATGCGCCGCGGCTAAGCAAAATCGCTCAAAATCTACCCCGGGCCTAAATCACCCCTAGAGCATCGCGCTCATGTCGTTCTCCATGCCCCCCTCGCCGGCGTCGTCGGCCTTGTGCCAGGTGGGCGTCGCGTTCAAGAACGCCAGGCACCAGACCGCGAAGGTCGGCGCGGAGAGGAACGCCGCGACGACGACACCAAGGCCGAGCACGACGCGCCCGCGAGCGAGCGCAGCATCTCGGGCTCGGGCGACGACGCGGCGTGAAGACTTAGGCTATACTCGCTCGTCGAGGCGCGCGAGGTTCGCTATAGCATGCTCGTTGCCCTTGGCAGCGGCGCGCTCGAACCAGTACCTGGCTTTGCCGAGGTCGACTTCCGTGCCTGCTCCGTCCATGTAACAGCAGCCAAGGCTATTCTCCGCATAGGTATAGCCTTGATCCGCCGCGAGCGCGAAGTACCGGAACGCTTCTTCATGTTTCTCTTCAGAGTAAAGTAAAGACCCTAAATTGTTTTGCGCGGTCGCTTCGCCCCGATCCGCGGCCATTCGAAACAGCCGCTCCGCCTTCTTCTTGTCCAGCTTGACGCCCAACCCCTCGTTGTACAAATCCGCAAGGTGTCTCGTCGCCTCCACGGCGCCGAGCTCCACGGCGCGCTTCCAAATCTTTGCGGCTTTCTTATCGGATTTCACGAGGCCGTACCGACCGAGGCGGTACGCGTTTCCCAAAAACGTAATTGCTTCAGGCACCTCATTCTCCACATGGCGGCGAAGACGCGCGAGTCTTTCCGCACCGGTTTCAGCGCACGGTAGTCGACAGAGGGGACACGCGTCGCGCCCGATCTTGTCCTGGCACGATCGGCAGACCCTTCGGCAGCAACAGACGCGAAACACGTTCTTCACATTCACGTCCCACTCCTCCAAGCAGATCGGGCACCGCGACCCGAGCCGTGCCGACAAGGGCTCCCGCTCCGGGTTCGCCTCGCGCCGCACGCGGGCCGCCTCGTGTTCCGCCGCGATGCGCGCGCGGATCTCGTCGGCGTGCGACCGCGGCGCGGGGCCGTAGAACACCTCGCGCGGCGGCGACGAAGGGGGCGTCGGCGCTTCCGCCGCGCGCTCGCTTCGGATCTTCTTGCACGCCTTCCGGTGGCCCCGCTCGCGCCAATCGATGCGTTGGCATTCAGTCGAACAATATTGTGTCGTCCCGCAAGGACAGTTCAGCAAGGTCTTCGGTTTCACCCCACAAATTGTGCACGTCAAACGCAGCTGTAGCGCTTTCGCCCGCGCCTTCTTCTCTTCGTATTCGCGCTGCTTCTCGACGTACTCGGCCTTCATGATCGTTTGCGGGGGGCGGTGCGCGGGCTCAGGTTGGGGGCGCAAGAGGGCTCGATCACGCAGGGGCAAATATCGCTCAAAATCTGGACCTGGGAGGCGTCTAGGGCTGAGCCCACCCCTAGAGCACCGCACTCATGTCGTTCTCCATGCCCCCCTCGGCGGCGTCGTCGTCCTTGCGCCAGGCGGGCTTCGCGTTCAAGAACGCGAGGCACCAGAGGACGAAGGTCGGCGCGGAGAGGAACACCGCGACGACGACGCCAAGGCCAAGCATGACTCGCCCGCGCGCAAGCGCAGCATCTCGGGCTCGGGCGACGACGTGGCGTAAAGATTGTTAGGCTATACTCCTCGCGCGTCGAGTTCCGCGAGGGCCTCTATAGCTGCCTCGTGGCCCTTGGCAGCGGCGCGCGCGAACCAGTATCTGGCTTTGCCGAGGTCGACTTCTGTGCCTTCTCCGCGCCTGTAACAACAGCCAAGGCAAGTCTCTCCACAGGCATAGCCTTGATCCGCCGCGAGCGCGTAGTATCGGAATGCTTCTTCAAATTCCTCCTGAGAATCAAGTAAAAACGCTAAACTGCTCTGCGAGAACGCGTCGCCCCGGGCCGCGCCCATGCGATACAGCCGCTCCGCCTTCTTCTTGTCCAGCTTGACGCCCCACCCCTCGCGGTACAGTTCGCCAAGAAGTCCCATCGCGTGCACATCTCCGAGCTCCACCGCACGCTTCATAATTTTCGCGGCTTTCTTATCGGATTTCACGAGGCCGAACTGACCTTTGTGGTACGCAATTCCCAAATGCGTAATCGCTTCCGGCACCTCGTTCTCCACATGGCGGCGAAGACGCGCGAGCTGCTCCGCATTGGTTTTTGGGGCCGGTAATCGACAGAGGGGACACGCGTTTCCGATCTTGTCCTGGCACGACCTGCAGACCAGCCGGCAGCAACAGACGCGAAACACGCCCGCAGCATTCACGTCCCACTCCTCGAGGCAGATCGGGCACCGCGACCCAAACCGCGCCGACGCCGGCTCCCGCTCCGGGTTCGCCTCCCGCCGCACGCGCGCCGCCTCGTGTTCCGCCGCGATGCGCGCGCGGATCTCGTCGGCGTGCGACCGCGGCGCGGGGCCGTAGAACACGTCCCGCGGCGGCGACGGCGCGCGCGTCGGCGCCTCGGCCCGCGCCGCCTCCGCGGCCTGGATCTTCTTGCAGACCTTCCGGTGGCCCCGGTCGCGCCAGTCGATGCGTTGGCAGGCCGTCGAACAGTAGGCCGTCGTGCCGCAACCTGCGCAAGCCTTGGCCTTGTCGGCGCCGCAGATCGTGCAGGTCTTGAGAGTGTCGAGTTTTTTGCCCCTCGCTCGGGCCATGCGATTCTCATACTCCAACTTCTTCTCTTGCCACGTCGCATTCTCTCGATTGCCGGCCATCGCGTCGCCCCGGGGTCGATCACCGTCGATCGCCGAGAGCCGCACTTTTCGCCTCAGCTGAGTGCGGGGACGGCGGTGCGCGCGCGCATATTCGCTCTTCACGCACCCATTTCAAACATGGCCCCGCGACGCCGGAAGGCCATCACGAAAGCAAAACCTGCCACGGCCGCCGATCTAACTCGCCTTCCCGAGTCGCTCATCATCGACTGCGTGCTCCCTTTCGCCGGCTACCGGGCCTCGTTTCGCCTCGATACTGTCCTCAAAGGCCGGCTCAGCGCGCAAGAGAACGCGTGGGAGCGGGCGCTGGAGGTGGGCCGGCGCGGCGTGTTCGGCATCACGCGCGCCGAGGCGATGGCGGAGCCCACGACTTTTACGCTCGTTGCCGATGACGGAGAAGAGTCGGAGGTCGATGCCGTCCCGGGCACCGCAAATTTGCCGCTCCTCAATTCAGTCCTGCACGTTGCCGTATCAGAAGATGAACCGGGTGACGACGCTCTCTTCGCCCTTCAGACCTTCTCGCAACTTCTCGCGCTAGGAATTCGCGGCACGGCAGAAACGTTGATGGCTACGGCGATGCGCTACAATCCACGCGACGAGCAATGCGTATCGATAGCTGATCGATCCGGCGTCTACACGCGCTACCACTTCGATATGTACGGTCGTGACGACGTGTGTACCGACGCGCTCCAGATGCTTCTCGACGCGGGGCTTGATCCAGATGTGAGGTTCATCTACGCCGCAAAGACTGAACTTGAAATAGAAGCGACGGCGCTCCACACTGCCCTCACGAATCCCTACTGGTCCGTGGAGCAGCGCCGCGTGCTCGTGCGAATTCTTCTCGACGCCGGCGCCAAGCCCGAGACCGTGTCGATTCGTCGCAACGGCACTGTCAACGCTTTAACAGCGGCCATCGCGTTGCAGGATGTTGGCCTTGTAAAGACGATCCTGACGGCTTCACGCGATCCGAAAGCTCTCGTTTTGCAACCGTATTTGAATGCCAAATTTACCTGGTCAAAAGCCGTGGTGACGCCATTAACCGACGCGGTAGCTCGGAAGAGTTGGCCCGTCGTGAAGCTGCTCCTCGATACCGCTCCAGAAGCCATTCGTGAGGAGACCCTTCTCCATAGCTGCGCGCGCAGACACGGCCCCGCGCTGATCGCCGCCGGCGCGGTCGTGACGTCCAAGGAGGAGCGGACCGGGAATTCGGCACTCCATCTCGCGCTCAAGCCCTATAATAATCGCGATCGCGACGCAAGCGCATCGTCTCCATACGCCCTGAGGAACGTGCATGAAGATGGTTGCTTCATCATGGGTTGGCGACTGAACCAGAGGACGTTCTTCCGCGCATTGATGAAGTCGGGAGCGGACGTGAAATCGAAGAACGCGATGGGTCAAACAGCATTGCATGTTGTCTGCGAGTATTCGTCTGGTGAGCCTTACGGAGGAACCGGCTGGCATTCTAAGTATTCTCCGTCCGAGGAAAATCCGGAAACGATGGCCGACGCGTGTCTCGATCGATTGACGCACGTGTCCGCCCTGGTTGCCGCGGGCGGCGACATTAACGCCAAGGACTCCAAGAATGCGCTAAGGGATCATTACGGTGGCAAGACGCCTCTTCTCTATGCAGTCGCATGGATGGACGCGCCGCGCGTGGAAGCACTGATCGGTCTGGGCGCGGACGTAAACGCCAAGGACTCGAGGAAAATGAACGCGCTCCATCATGCGATGCGCGCGTCCGATCTGCCCGATTCTGCACCTTGGCGCGCGGGGGGCTCCGAGCTGTCCCGGGCTCAAGCGAATGCGGTCTTCGAACGCAAGACGGAGGTCGTCGCGGCGTTGATCCGCGCGGGAGTCGACGCGAACGCGAAGAATTCCGATGGTCTCACGCCACTCATGTTCGCCCTTGACCAGAATTGCCGGTATCCTTTCCGAAGGACTTACAGTCAGACTCTGTTTCTAGATCTGCCTTCCCTTTGCCCGCTCTTCGAGGTGTTGATCGGAGCCTCGAACCTGAGCGCGCGGACGCGCAAGCGCGACAGCGTGCTGACGCTCGCCGCGCCCTGGGCGAACGCGGCGATCGTGCGCGCTCTCCTCGATGCCGCCGGCCCATCTCTGAATTTGAACTGGCGGAATCATATCGGAAAGACTGCTCTTATCCTGGCGGTCGCCGCAAGGCCACCGCAGATTGAGACGTGCAAACTGCTGCTCGAACGAGGCGCGAAGCCGAACCTTCGCGACATGCAGGGACGCACTGCGCTCTCCTACGCGCAGGTCTCCTATAGCCCTGAAGCGGGCATGGACGACAGCTTCGGCAAGCTCCTCCGAAAACACGGCGGGCGCACCTAGGTCCCTAAGCCCATGCTATTAATCCGAGTCCGAGTCCGACGACGACGACGACGAGTCCCGCTTCCGCTTCTTCGAAGACTTCTTCCGAGTCTTCTTCTTGTCCTTGGAGGACTTCTTCTTCTTGGACGAGGACTTCTTCTTCTTGTCCTTGGACGAGGCCTTGCGCTTCTTCGAGGGCGCCGCGTCCGCGAAGAGGTCGACGGTCGCCGTCGGCGCCGCGGGCCGCGGCGCGGCGCCGCGCGGCGCGCGCGGTCGGTCGTCGAGGGGCCGCTTGAGGCACGCGAAGCTCTCGTCGGGCACCGTGCCGTCGTTGGGCACGGTCGCGGGCTTCGGCGCGGGCGCGGGCGGCGGTGGCGGCGGCGGCGGCGGCTCGTCGTCGCGCTCGAAGACGTCCTTGAGGTCCCGGGCCGACGGCCGCGGCGGCTCGGCGACCGGCGGCGGCTCCGGGCGGTCCTCCGCCGCGGCGGCGGCCTCGTAGGCCGCCGGCGCGTCGGCGCCGGCCATGGGCAGGTAGGCGCCGACCTCGTTGGCGAAGCTCTTGCTCGCCGTCGCCGCCGTCGTCACGCGCGGCGCCGCGGCGGACGTCGCCTTGAATTGGCGGTCGCGCAGCGCGGCCGTCTCGACGTCGCCGCTGACCATGGGCACGGGGATGCCGAAGCGCTTGCAGAGCAGAGGCAGGGGCTGCCAGAGCCGCGTCGTCCGCGTCGGCAGGACGCGCCACGACGCGGGCTGGTCGGGCTTGGCGTCCGACGCCGGCTTCGGGGTCTTCGCGGGGACGCTCAGGCCGCCCTTGGCGGGGACGCTGAGGCCGCCCTTGGCGGGCACGCTGAGGCCGCCCTTGGCCGCCGCGGGCGCGACGGCCGACGGGTCGTGGGCGGACGCCGACGTCGTGAAGCGGCTGCCCATGGCCTTGGCGAGGCCCGCGAACTTTTCGCCGCCGAGCGCCGCGCGCGCGGGCGCGCGCGCGGGCGCGGGCTCGGGCGCGCGCTCCCCCAGGAGCTCCGCGCGCCGGCGGATGCCCGCGCCGGGCGCCTCGGCCTCGCGGCCGCCGCGGCGCAGCGCCGCGAGCCACGGCGACGGCAGCGGCGGGCCGCAGAAGCGGTGCGCCGCGCGCCAGCCCCGCGGCGGCCGCGGCAGCGGCGGCCGCGTCCGCGGGACCGCCGGCGCCGCCGAGGGCGAGAACCCCGCGATCGTGCCCGGCCGGTGGCTCGCGCTGCCCGTCAGCAGCGCCCGGGGCCCGTCGCCGAAGCGCGACGCCGTCGCCGCGAGGAGCGGCGGGCCGCCGCCGTCGTCGTCGTCGAGCGACGCGTCGTAGGCCTGGAGCAGCGCCTTGGGCGCCGCGCGCGCGTCGTAGACGTCGTCGTCGTCGTCGTGGAGCGCGAAGCCCGACGTGTCGCGGATGGCGAGGGACCGCGACGACCCGCCGCCCTTGAGCGCGTCGTCGACGCGGTAGACGTCGCGGCCCCGCGCCTCCTCGGGCCGGTCGAGGAAGCCCTCGTAGCCGACGCAGTAGCGGTGGCCGTCGCGGCTCGCCGAGCTCGTCGCGTGCGTCAGCGGCCGCGCGGGCTCCTCGTCGCTGTCGGGCTCGAGGCCCGCGGCGTAGCGCTTCTTCTTTCGCCGGCGCCGCAGGAACCGCAGCATCGCCGCGCCCTTGGACGCGGCCGACGGCGGCGCGGTCCGTGTCTCCGGCGCCGCCGCGAACAGAGCCTCCAGGCCGCCGCCGTCGATCGCGCGGCCGCCGCCGGCGCTCGCCTCGTGGCCCCGGAAGCCGCCGTCGACGGCGAGCGTGCGCCCGAGCAGTCCGTCGTGCTCGTCGCCGATGTCCTCCGCGCGCGCGGGCTCGACCTTCTGCCGCTTGGACCGCGAGCTCTGGAACGTCGCCGGCGTCCAGCCCTCGGCGCTGCCCACCGTGTTGTGGTAGCCCGCGCTGAAGCCGCCGCCGAAGGCGCCGTGGAACCGGCGCCCGCGCTCGACCTCGCGCTTGTACCAGTCGTTGTGCTCGTCGCCCATGCCTTTCGACGCGAGCACGTCGAGGTCCTCCTTCTTCTTGTTCGTGTTGGCCATGCTGTTGTCGCGCGCGCGCGCGAGGCGCGAGCGCGGCGTCGGCGGCGGCGGAGACGCGCAGACCGTGCCGCACTTTGCGGCAAGCTTTGGCTCGCCGAAGATGCCGAAGAAACATCCACAAGCCCGAGCTCGTATCAACCATCGATTGCTCGTGGATTGACGCCAGCCGCTCCCTGTTAGTCCATCCCGCGGCTGCCCGAGACGCCATGGGTAACAGCCTCGACTGCGGCCTCGGCGACTGCGGCTCGCCCGACGACGCGGAGTCGAGCGACTACTCGAAACCCGTCGAGTACGACCAGGTGCGCCGCCGCTCCTTTCCCTTTCGGGTGCGGCGCTCGCCGCGGCCGCCGCGCGGGTCGGGCGCCGGATCCCGGGGGCGCGGCGCCGCCGGGACCCGGGGCGCGCCGCCGCGGCGCGCCCGGCCGCCCGCCGCCCGCTCCGGCTCCCGCGCGCGCGCGCCGCTCCCGCCGCGCCGCCCGCCCGGACGAGCGGACCCCCGCGCGCGCGCCGCCCCTCCGCCGACGCCGTGATCATCCCGCGCGCAGGGGAAGCCGGCGCCCGTGCCGAAGAAGATCCTCAGCAGCCTCGAGGTGCACCGGCATCTGAAGGAGTATTACGAGGCCTGGAAGACGGGGACGATTCAACAAAAACAGCTCGAGATGCTCCAAAAAATGCCCGTGGACCCGGCGACGGGCCTCCTCTGGTGGCAGTGGGTCGAGCGGCACTCGGGCATCTGCGACCACCAGCCACCGCGCGACAAGCCCGCGTTCCTCGCGGCCTAGGCGCCGCGCATTTTGTCGGACCCGCGCTGCAGGGCGCCGCGGTCCCGGCGCTCGGTAAGAATGAGCTCCCGTCTCTTGTTAAGGGGGGCGTCGATCGAACAGGGGCCCGCGACCACCGTCCTTAGCTCCCGGCGAGTTCGTCCTCGAGCGCGGCCTCGAAGCCGAGGTGGCCGCGGAGGATCATCTCGTCGGTCACGCTCGCCGGCGACGCGCCGCTCAGCGTGGCGCCGTTGAGGTTCTCCGGGTAGGTCGCCTTGGCCAGCGCGAGCGCGCCGACGGCGAAGGGCACCTGGGACGCGGCGAACGACGCCGTCAGCGGCGACGGCTCGACCGCAAGGTCGACGACGCCGAACGCGAGGCACGCGACCATGAAGAGCGCGAAGGCCCAGCTCCCCGCGAGCAGGTCGTTGGCGACGTGCGGCGAGTCGGAGGCGACGAACCGTCGAAGCATGTCCGAGCCCGCGCCGCCGTTCGCCGCGAGGTTCTCGGGCAAAGCGCCCAGGACCATGACGAACGTCGCGAAGACGATGTAGGCGCCCGCGATCGCGTAGAGCAGCGGGATGATCTCGCCCGGGTGCGCGTCGACGGCGGCCGCGGCGCCCGCGAGGAACGTCGGCGCGCCGAGGCCGAGGCCCCAGGCGCCCGCGAGGATCGCGCTGTCGGCGACGTAGCGGTCCCACGGCGCCAGCGCGTCGATGCGCGCCGAGTCCGCGGCGTCGTTCTCCGCGCGCTCCGCGAGCGCGAGCACGCGCTCCGGGAACGAGCCCTGTATGAGCGCCGCGGCGCCGAGGAGCCAGAGGACGGCGGAAGCGAGATAGCAGTCGTTCGCGAGCGCGTCCGCGGGGTCGGACGCGGCGCAGACCGCGGCGCAGTAGGCGACGTACGCCACGCTGCCGAGTGCGAGCAAGGCCGCCCCGAGCTGCTGGTCCGTGCCCGCGAAGCGCGTCGCGAGGCGGCCGAGCCGCGGCCGCTTCCCGGCGGCGTCCAGCCGTTGTTCGAGCGCGGCGGCCGCCGCGTCGCGCCGCGCCGCGAGTCTCGCCGCGGCATCGGCGTCGGCGGCGCGCGTCGCGCGGAGCTTGCGCTCGGCCTCGTCGAAGAGCGGCTCCGTCGCCGACGCGGCGCCGAGGTCGCCCGAGACCCGCAGCCGGCCGAGCGCGACGGCCGCCGCGGACCCGTAGCGCTCGTCCATGAGGGCCTCGAAGACGTCCTCGTTCTTGTACGTCACGCGCGCGTCGGCGGCGCCGGCGTCGTCGATAGAGACGCGCGCGGCGCCCGCGCCGTCGACGGCGACCACGACCCAGCGCTCGGCGGGCCGCACGCGGAACGCGACGCGCTTGTTCCGCGCCGCGGAGGACTCGCCCACGCGCGTCCCGTCGAGGGCCTCCCAGAACGCGTCGCTCAGACTCGTCGTCCGCGCGAGCGTCGACACCGGCGCGGCGGCGGAGGCGGGCTCCTGAGGCGCCACCGGCGCCGGCGGCCGCCGCCGCGACACCGCGCGCCACGCGCGGCGCAGGCGGCTCGGTTTGGTGGTCGCGAGCGCTGCGCAGCGCAGCGCGGGGAATACGACGAGTAGGAGCAATCGCATCAGGCCTTCGCTTGCTGCTCTTTGACTTTGAGGACGCGCTGCCGGTAGCCCATGATGATGCCCGTCAAGCCGAGCTGCAGGCCGAGAAGCACGCGCCAGCGCACAGGTATTTTGGAGAAGTTAAACTTGAGTCCCATTAGCCTTGCCGACGCGTCTATTTGAGCCTTGCCGACGCGTCTATTTGTCTATTTGCTGCCCATGCGCTCGCCTTTGCTTGCGCCGCAAGTTGCGGCAGATTTTGTGGCTAAAAAAAGGCAAGAATGGCGAGTCGCAAACACCAAGCCCGCCGTCTGGGACGACCGCTTCTCGAGGCACAATGACGGAGTTCGAGACGCTGCGCTTCGCGCCCTTCTCGAGCGCGCCGAAGGTGGCCTTCTGGCAGGCCGTCGGCGACGCGAAGCTGCGCGACTGGCGCCTCGACGACGGCGCGCGGGCCATCACCGGCGCCTACTGGCCCGGCTCGTCGTCCGGCGGCGGCGCGCGCCTCGAGCTCGGCGCGTCGTCGGTGAGCGGCGGCGCCGGCCCGGAGGGCGCGCTCGCGGCGCCGGGCCGCCTGACGCTCGTCAACACCGTGGAGGCGTTCCGGTCGCGGGACAAGAACGCGTTCCTCGCGGACGCCGCTGCCGCGCTCGCGGACGCCATGGACTCGGGCGCGGCCTGGGAGCGGCCGGAGGTGCTCGCGGGCTTTGAGGTCCTGGCGTTCGCGGACCTGAAGACGCAGAAGTTCGTCTACTGGTTCGCGTTCCCGGCGCTCGCGCTCGACCCCGCCGCGCGGCTCGCGAAAAGCGAACCGCTCGCGAGCCTCGGCGGCGACGTCGCCGACCGGCTCGTCGCCGAGGCGCTCGCGTCCGTGGCCTTCGCCTTCGACCCGGCGACGAACACCATCCTCACGCTCGCGGCCGCGGCGGCGGTCGACGACGCGCCGAGGACGCTCGTGTTCTGCGTGGCGGACCCCGCGACGGCGCAGCCGGGCTGGCCCGCGCGGAACCTGGTCGCGCTCGTGTCGCGCAGGTTCCGCGCGACGGCGGCGCGCGTCGCGTGCATCCGCGCGACGGCCGCCGAGTCCGTCGTGCTCGACGTCGCGCTGCCCGAGGGCTGCGGCCGCGGCGCCGAGAGCCGGGGGGTCGGCTGGGAGCCGAACGCGGCGGGCCGCATGGGCCCGCGGTCCGTGGACCTGGCGCACCTCAGCGACCCGGCGGAGCTCGCGACGGCGGCGGCGACGCTGAACCTGGAGTTGATGCGCTGGCGGCTCCTGCCGGACCTCGACGTGGACAAGCTGAAGGCGACGAAGTGCTTGCTCTTGGGCGCGGGCACGCTCGGCTGCGCCGTGTCGCGGAATCTCGTGGCCTGGGGCGTGGCCCACGTGACCTTCGTGGACTCGGGCAAGGTCTCCTACAGCAACCCGGCGCGCCAGTCGCTCTACGAGGTCGACGACGCCGCGAAGCACAAAGACAAGGCGGTCGCGGCCGCGGACGCGTTACAACGCATCGCGCCGGGCACGTCCTCGAAGCCCGCGCGCTTCGAGGGCCGGGTCATGACCATCGCCATGCCCGGCCACTCCCTCGCCGGCGACGCGAACGCCGAGCAGGATTTGCAGGACCTGTCGGCGATGGTGGACGCGCACGACGTCGTCTTCCTCCTCACGGACACGCGCGAGGCCCGGTGGCTGCCGACGGTGCTCGCGGCGGCGCACGACACGCTGCTCATCAACGTCGCCCTGGGCCTCGACACCTTCGTCGTGAGCCGCCACGGGCTGGCCGGCCAGGGCCCGGGGAAGCTCGGCTGCTACTTCTGCAACGACGTCATGGCGCCGAGCGACTCGTCGAAGGACCGGACGCTGGACCAGCAGTGCACCGTGTCGCGGCCGGGCCTCGCGCCCGTGGCGTCGGCGCTCGCCGTCGAGCTGCTCGTCGCGCTCCTGCACCACCCGGCCGGCGGCGCGGCGGACGCGGACCCGGAGACGCCGCTGTCGCAGCGCGTCGACGCGAAGGCGCGGCCCCTCGGCATCCTGCCCCACAGCGTCCGGGGCTTCCTCACGCACTTCCAGACCGTGCTGCCGACGACGCGCGCCTTCGACAAGTGCTCCGCCTGCTCCGACGCCGTCGTCGGCGCCTTCCGGGACCGGGGCTTCGCGTTCGTCGCCGCGGTCGCCGCGGACCCCGCGCACCTCGAGGCCGTCTCGGGCCTCACGGGCATGAAGGCCGACGTCGGCGACTGGGAGGACGACGACGACGACGACTTTTAGGGTCGTATGTGTGTGTGCGTGTATGAATTACGATATACGGGGTCGGGGCTCGGGGCCTCAGAGGTTTTGCGTCGTCCCGAGGGGCACGGCGTCGTAGCCGTCGACGATCTCGAGCTGGAAGTGGTCGCGCTTCTTGTCCGGGCTCGGGGACTCCGGCGGCGCGTCGTCGCCCGCGCCGCGCGTCGGGACGAGCTCGAGGCCGGCGTCGTCCTTGGCGGCGCCGTCGCCGCGCGCGGCCGCGTCCGCGTCCTCGTCGGGCTTCGCGGGCTTCGTGCAGGGCGTGCACAGGGGGCCGTCGTCGTCGTCGTCGTCGTCCTGGTCCGCGTCGCCGCCCTTGGACTGGGTGAGGTCCTCGAGCTCCTTGCGCTGCTCCTGCAGGATGTACTCGTACGTCGTCAAATCCTGCCTGACGAGCATCGCGTGAAAAAAGCCGAGCTGGCCGATGAGCACGACCAGCGGCAGCAGGAGCGCCGCGTAGGCGTAGACGACGACGACGTAGCCGCTGAGGCCGAACGCGTCCGCGAGCGCGTGGCGCCGCGCCAAATCGCAGACCTCGGACGTCGCCTTCCGCCGCGGGTGCGTGACCTCGACGGCCACGTAGCAGCTGAGGCAGAGCTGGAGGAACGTGAAGCAGCACGTCGAGCCGATGACCGCGAGGAAGTAGGCGTAGTTCTTGGAACCGACGCACGTGTTGAGCCACTTGCAGTGGTGGTCGAAGCGGAGCACGCACTTGTCGCAGAAGCGGCAGTGCTTCGAGGAGGCGAAGACGTGGGCCTGGCAGAGGTAGCAGAGGCACGTCTCCTCCGACGCCGCGCGGGCCAGGGCCGCGTCGCGGCCCTTGCGGGATCGGAGGCAGCCGCCGGCCAGCGGGCTCACGGAGAGCGGCTCGCAGCACGCGGCGAGCCGCGACCCCCGCGGTGGCCGGCCCTCGAAGTCGCCGCCGAGCTCGCGCCCGCTCCGCCCGCCCGCGGGCTCGCGCCGCACGTGCGGGTCCCGCGGGTCCACGGCCGCCGTGATCCACGCGCTCGCGAACGTCACGCCCGCGACGCAACTGTAGACGCCGCACGCCGCCCAGCGCCAGGGCTCGGGCACGACCGGGAGCAGCACGAAGTAGAAGTCGAAGAGGATCGTCGGAAACAGGGCCCATGTCAGGCACTGGAGCGGGTGCAGCGGCCAGTCGAAGCCGTTCTCGCGGGACATGGGGCTCGACAGGAGCGCGCGCAGCCGCCGGTCCGCGCCCGGCGACGACAGGGTGCGGAGACGCGGGGGAGGGCTCCGCCGCCCAGGCTAGGTGCGAGCACGCAGGCGAACGCTCGATCCGGCCGACACCCTCGCGCTTTGCACCTCTCGCAGGACGACGCCCTCGCGGCCGAGCTGCTTTATTGCCTCAGCTTTTTGCATGTGCGAGAAGTGCAATAGCGGTTCTGAATCTGCCGACGATGCCGTCGCCAGCCCACGTTGACCCGCGGGCCAGCTGATGGACACTCGGTAGCTCGAGGCCCCTCGTTGCCAGCCATGGAGGAGTTTTTCTTAAATGATCAGTTGTACGAAGCCGCCGAGAGCGGAGATGTACCACTGATTCGTACCGTTGTGGCGCTGGGCGCGGACGTGAATCATCGGAGAGACAGAGCCCTGTGTCTTAGCCGCGCTGCTTGGAATGGTCATACGGCGGCCGTGGAGCTCTTGCTCGCAAGTGGAGCCGACGTCGACGCGTCGCCGCTCGACCGCGTCGGGTTCACCGCGCTTCACGCAGCTGCAGTAATCGGACACGTCGAGATCATGGGCCTCTTGCTCGCGGCCGGCGCGGACGTGCACATCATGGCCGTGCATGGGACTCCCTTGTACAGTTCGGTTGGTTATACCGCGAAGCAAGCGCGCGGCGCGAAACTGCTCCTTTTGCACGGGGCACGCGTCGGCGATGTTGCCGGGCCATCGTCTCCCGCCCGGCCCCTCTACAAGGCAATCGAGTGCGGACAACGCGACCTGGTCAAGACATTTCTCCGCGCCGGCGCAGAAATACCCGCAAGACTCCCTGCCCTTCCCCTTACTTCAACTTATAATACTTCCCGCGCAAAGAAGGTCGCACGCATTCTCGACCTGATGGCAGCGATCCGCTCCGCCGGCGGCTGGCCAGAGTACGTCGCCAAGCACCGCCGCGTGCTCTCGAGCTTCGTCTCCAAGCTCAGCGCCAAGAGCGCCGTCCCCCTCGACGCCGCGAGCCACCTCGTCGCCTTCTGGTGTCCCCCTGGGGGCTATTGAGAGAACGGAGCCTCGGTTAACAACTACCGCCCCCTACCGCGCCGCGCCGCCCGCCTCCGTCGCCCCGGCTCCTCCGGGGCCGCCGCGGTGCCGCCGGCGCGCTTCCGCGCCTTGGCGCCGAGCGCGCCCGCGCCGCCGCCGCGGAGGATGAGCGCGACGCGCGCGCCGCGGAAGCCGAAGTCGGCGCCGATGGCCGCCGCGAGCGTCTCCCGGATTTTGGGTTTGAGCTTGGCGTCCAGGTTGCGGCCGAAGAGCGCGAAGGTCGGCGGCGCGTGGCCGACCTGCGCCAGATAGCGCACGGCGGCGAACGCCTCGCCGCGCGGGCCGCGGCGGAAGTCGCGGAACCAGGTGTTGAGCGCGCCCGTGGAGACGCGCTTGGCGACGTTGGCGTCGTGGGCCTTCAACGCGAAGCGCAGCGCGCGCCGCGCGCGGCCGGGCGACTCGAGCGCGGAGCACGCGACGATCGGCGCGTTCGTCGCGTCGAAGAGGAAGCGCAGCTCCGACCGCCGCAGCCCGTCCTCGACGTCCTTGGCCGTGGCGCGCGCCGCGTCGCCGCTCGGGGCGTTGGCGCCGCGGCCCGCGAGGACGGCGCCGCCGGCGCGGTACGCGTCGACCTTGTTCGCCAGGACGACGACGGGGAGCCGCGCTTCGGACAGGTGGCGCGCGAGGCGCAGGTCGTCGCGGCGCAGGGGGCCGGAGCAGTCGACGACGAAGACGGCGACGTCGCAGCGGCCGCCGACCTCGAGCTCCGTCGACCGCGCGGCGCGCTCCTCGACGGCGTCCTTGGACGCCCGGGACGTCGTCCCCTCCAACACGCGGCGCACGCCCGCCGTGTCCACGAGGCGCACGGCCCGCCCGGCGACGTCGACGGCGCACTCGACGGCGTCGCGCGTCACGCCCGGCTCCGGCGCCGCGACGGCGACGTTCGACCGCGCGAGCGCGTTCACGAGCGTCGACTTGCCGACGTTGGGCCGCCCGACGAGCGCGACGCGCACCTCGTCGTCCAGCGACGGGAGCAACTCGTCCTCCTCGGTCGACGGCGCCGCGGCCGCGAACGCTCGAAGCGCGTCGAGGACGTCGGGCAGCCCGTCGCCGTGCTCCGCGGACACGGACAGCGGCGCGGCGCGCGCGAGCGTCTCGGCGAAGGCGAGGTCCGCGGCGGCGACCTGCCGGTCGTTCTCCATCTTGTTGAAGAGCACGAGCCGCGGCACGTCGCCCGCCGCGGTGCGCAGCCAGCGCGCGACGTCGTGGTCGTCGCCCGTGACGCCCGCGGCGCCGTCGAGGACGACGAGCGCGACGTCCGCGTTCGCGACGCAGCCCGCCGTCAGGTCGCGCAGCACGGCGGGCATGCCCGGGAACGCGCCGCGCTGCGGAGGCGCGGATCGGAACGCGCCGTCGCCGACCTCGAGGCCCGCGGTGTCGACGACCTCGAAGCGCAGGTCGCCGAGGCGCCCGGGCGCGGACCGCACGTCCCGCGTCGTCCGCGCCACGGGCGACGTGAGCTGCGCCGTCGGCGGGAGCCGGTGCTGCCGCGATTTCTTGCCGGTGGGCGACGCGGCGCCCGGAGCGGGCCGCTCGCGCGCGGACCGCACGTCGCGCAGCGCGTTGAAGAGCGTCGACTTGCCCACGTTGGGCCGGCCGACGATGGCCACCTGGAAGCGGAGCAGTCGCGTCGCGCGCATGGTGGTTGATTACTGCCCGAGTGCGCGGCCTACTGCGCCGTGCTCGTCGACGGCGCGGACCACGGCCTCTCGCACTCCATGCGGGAGCGAGCTGCCTGCAACGAAGCGATACATCCCTCACCTTGCGCCGTCTTTGGCTGACCATCCGCGGCCATGGGGCAGCCTCCGCGCCGCGCCCGGGCGGGGCGCGTCGGCGCCCTCGTCGTCGCCGGCGCCGTCGGCGCCGCGTGCTACGCGGCGACGCGGCCGTCCGGCGGCGCGCCCGTCGCGAGCCTCGCCGTGGACGCGGCGTCGAGCTCCTCGGGCGAGGTCGGCGTGCGCATCACGAACGCCTACGGCGCCTGGGACGCGGGCACGCTCTACCCCTGGGCGCACGTCGTGGAGCCCTTCCGGGACACGAAGTTCCAGGTCGCGAGCGACGAGACCTGCGCCATGACGCTCGCGCACGTCGACGGCACGGGCGCTGAGGTCCGCGCCGGCGAGGCGCCGTTCGCGATCACGACGCTCGACGAGCCCAACGCGATGACGGCGGTCTTCACGCGCGCCGCGGGGGACTACGTGCTCAAAGTGACCTGCGACGACGCCGGCGGCGGGGCGCCGAAGGCGCGGACGATAAACCTGAAGGCCAAGTACGTCCGCCGGGAGATCCGCACGCTCCACGCGGGCGACCTCGCGCGCTACATGAACGCGACGGCCCTCGTGCATACCCTATCGCTGGCGGCGGGGCAGGCGCGCTTCGGCCCCAAGTTCAAGAACTACGAGTACTTCACCGCGAAGCATCTGGACAAGCGGTCCATCGACGAGTGCACGCCGTACCACGACGGCGACGTCTTCCTCACGGCCCACGCGGCCTTTAGTCTCGAGTTCGAGCAGGCCCTGCAGGCTATCGACCCGTCCCTGGCGTCGCCCTACTGGGACTACACGCTCGACGACGAGAAGTACGGCGAGGACTGGGCCGCGGAGTCGGCGATCTTCTCAAAGAACATGTTCGGCTCCTACGGCGCGTCGCGCACGTCCGAGGGCCACCGCATCGGCGACGGGCCCCTCGTCGGCGCGCGCGTCGCGACGCAGGGCGCCATGAACCGCAGTGACTGGCCCGAGTCGAACAGCTTCGGGCGGCTCACGGAGGCGTGGAACGCCGACGACACGATGTTCGTCGGCCGCGCGGACACGATCTGCGAGCTCGAGACGAAGGCACGATTGCCGGGCTGCTCCAAGCTCGCGCTGGCCATCGCGGCGTCGAACTCGACGGCGTACCCGGGCGCGTTCCTTCCCTCGTTCGAGAACGCGATCGAGACGGGCTTCCACGCGGAGCTCCACGGCATGCTCGGCGGCGCCTGGGGCTGCGAGATGCGCGACGGCACGTCCCTGTCCATGAAGGCCTTCGCGACCGCGCACCCGGAGACGCGGAAGATCCTGGAGATTCTGGGCGTCTACCTGAACCTGCTCTGGCGGTCCGTCTACAAGCGGGACCCGAACTGCGGCGCCTGCGACATGGCCGTCACCTGCCCGGCGTCGGGGACCTGCAGTAGCGGCGACGGGTCCTGCCGGTGCTTCTCCGCGGCCTTCGAGGAAGCGTACGCGGCCGCGAAGGACGACGACGAGAAGCTGCTCAAGCTCGCCAACGAGGCGCTGCGCGTCGACGCCATCAACAGCGCCATGAAGAACGCCCAGGCCGCCGTGGGCCTCTGGCAGAACACGACGGGCAACGTCCAGTTCATCGGCCCCGACGGCGCGCCGCTGAGCGCGGCCGCGAACAACGCGCTCAAGATCTTCCTGGCCAAGCTCGTGCTCCACCCGGCCAAGGTCGCGCCCTACGCGACGCCGTTGGCGGCGTCCAACGACCCCCTCTTCTGGGTCACGCACAACGCCTGGGAGCGCGTCTGGCACTACGTCCAGCTCCACCCGTCGACGCAGTACGGCAACGCGCTCTACGCGGACTCCGCGGAGCGCCTCAAGCAGTACTGGGACGTGAACCACGCGGGCCTCGAGCCCTACCGCGTCTGCTGGGGGCGCTACTGGGACGCCAAGCTCCCCTTCTCCGACTTCCTCGGCGAGGGGAACCACGGCCAGGACTACACGAACGGCGAGCTCATGCAGATCTTCCAGCCGACGAACCCGGACCTGCCCTTCGTCTACCACAACCTCCGATGGGACCACTGCCCAGCCGCGGACCACTAGCGCTCGCTCGTAAAAGTCGGCTCGTTTTGGGTGCACGTTTCGGTCATGTTGAAGCCTTTCGGCGAGCGAGTCTGTGTATTCTTTTGCCAGTGTCTTGTGCAAAGCAAAGCTCGCAGCGCAGCATGGTTTTGGGGGCATGTTTCGGTCAAGTTGAAGTTATTCGGCGAGCGAGTCTGTGTATTCTTTTGCCAGTGTCTCTTGTGCAAAGCAAAGCGCGTAGCGCGACATGGCAAAGCGCGCTCCGGCCTACGAGCTCATCCGCGGCCGCGACGACGCGCCGCCGCTGCCGAGCGCTCCGGCCTACGAGCTCATCCGCGGCCGCGACGACGACGCGCCGCTGCCGAGCGCCGACGACGATCCGCTGCCGAGCGCCGACGCGTTCTTCGCGACGGGCACGGACGACACGTGCTGCGAGGCCGGCGCCGCGTGCTGCTTCGACGTGTATCGCTTTTGCTGCGTGCCGCGGCCCTGGTGCTGCCCGCGGCAGAACGCGTTCTGCTGGCTGCTCTACAACGGCTGCGCGGGCGCGAGCGCGCGCGACGGCTTCATCTGGCCGGTCGGCTGCCCCTGCGGCCTCTGCACGTGCTGCTTCCCGCTGAAGATCTTCGACGTCGCGTGCTGCTGCTGCCGCACGCCCCAGGAGCGCTGCGACAGCTTCCGCTACGTCGGCCAGCGCGTGCTCCACAGCGGCATCGCCGAGATCCCGGCGCTCTACCCGTTCCCGCCGGCCGCGAGCGAGCGCGAGGCCTACGACGGCCGCGCGGGGCCCTGGTACGGCGCGCACCCGAACCGCTTCGTGTCGTTCCTCGAGGCGCTGGGCGACTTTTTGACGTCGTGCGCGTGCCTCGCGCCGCTCTGCGCGCGGTTCAACGCCGCGACGGTCGCGCCGACGACGACGTGGCGGCCCGCGAACCGCCACGTGGGCCGCCACGACCGCCAGATGAACGACAACAAGAACTTTGGGGGCGTCTGGATCTACCCGAGCCGCTACGGCGGCGCCATGCCGACGCCGCCGGGCGCGCGGGACGCCCGCGGCGAGCCGTTGCCGACGAACTGCGCGCCCGGCGACGTCGGGAGCCGCGTCATCTTCTGGGCGCACGGCTCGGCCTTCGCCGTGACGCAGGCCAAGGACTTTCTGTGGCTCTTCGGGCAGATGCTCGCGGAGCAGACGGGGCAAGTAGTACTCCTCGGCGAGTACGGCCTGACGTCGTCGACGGTCGCGCCCGCGCAGCTCGAGGGCTGGAGCCGGACCTACGCGGCGCTCTGCGAGTTCTACGGCGCGGCGAACGTCGTCGTCGCCGGCGACTCCGCGGGCGGCAACCTGGCCCTGGCGACGGTGCTGCGCGACGGCGCGGCGGCGCCGGGCGCGCTCGCGCTCCTGTCGCCCTGGGTCGACCTCCGCGACGGAGCCGTCGACGCGCCGTCGGTGGCGGCGAACGCGCCGGAGCGGGGGGCGCTGCCGCGCTACGGCCGCGCGGACTACCTGCCGCCCCAGGGCGTGCTCGCGACGGCGGCGTCGTACGCGAACGAGGCCGACCGGTCGACGGCGCTCGTGTCGCCGGGCGTCGCGTCCGCCGCCGACCTCGCGCCGCTCGCGGGCACGCGCGCCTTCGTGACCTGGGGCACCGACGAGGTCTTGCGGGACCAGCAGGCGGCCGTCGCGGCGAAGCTCGCGGCCGCGGGGCTCGACGTCGCGACCTACGTCGCGGCGGCCATGCCCCACGACGCGGCCGTGGCCGCCGCGGGCCTCATCTACGCGACGGGCCTCGGCTTCGCGGGTCTCGGCGACTACGGCGCCTTCGAGCCCACGCGCGTCTGGGCCGAGTTCCTCGGCTGGCTCGCGACGGTGCCGGGCTGGGAGGCGACGCGCGTCCCGCCGCGGTGGGTCGCCAAGGGGAAGTGAGCTTCTTAATGACGCCGCTCGGAGCCTTCACCTTGAGCCCATTGAAACTGGGGAAGTGGGGGTGAGCTTCAAGGTGACGCTGCTCGGAGCCTTCATAACATCAAGCCCATTGAAACTGCCGCGTCGGCTCTCTCACGACAATCGCGCGCACCGACGTCGGCTAAAAAGTATTCGCCTCCGCGGGCTGCCCCGAGACCATGGGTTCGTCGGCGTCCGTCGGCCAGAGCGAGCGGGCGTCGTTCAACTCCGTCGAGATCCAGGCGTCGAATCGGGGCAGCTTCGACCTCCCCTTCGGGGCGTCCCTGCGGGACCTGCCCGCGACGGTCCCCGAGGCCGCCGTCGCCGCCGGTCTCGGCTTCGGCGCGTCGACGCCCGTGAGCCCCGGGGCCCTGCGGCGCGGCCTCGCGGTCACGCACAGCGACCGGGGCAGCCCCTGGGAGGCGCCGCGGTCCGTCGCCGCGCCGCGACCGGGGCTCGAGCCGCCGAGCCCGGCGACGCCCGGCGCGCCCGGCGCGGTGCTCCGGCCGGCGGCGGCGGCGGCCGCCGACGAGGACCGGAGGGCCCGGCGCGCCTTCGGCTCCCGCAAGTCCTTCCAGCGCATCCACCACCCGGAGGAGGCGACGCCGGACGCGCCGACGCGGTCGATCACGCCCACGGACGACTACCTGGCGACGTTCGCCGCGCCCGCGTCCCTCGCGTCGTTCCGGCCCAAGCCCAAGCCGCGGAGCGCCACGGAGAAGATCGTCGAGTTCGACAAGGCGGGCTACTTGGGCGAGCACCAGCGGCGCAAGGGCTTCAACTCCCGCGAGAGCTTCGACAACTTCCTGCGCGTCGACGAGACGGTCCGCCTCGATCGACCCAACGACCCGCCGACGCCCCGGGACCCCCTCGAGCCGTTCCACTTCGCCCACCTCAGCTTCCAGCCCATCCTGCCCTCGCCCGTCGGCTCCTTCGGCTGATCGCGACCGCGGCGCCCGAAACCGCCTCCCGTTCGCCGCCCAGGCGCGGCGCGCCCCTCCGGCGCGCCGCCGCCACCGCGGAGCGGAAAATTTGCCTTATGAACATACTGCGTGCATGGGTGGGAGGCACGGGCTGCTGGATGCCAGTCGGTTCAACACCACAGCAAGTTGCAGTCAGTTTGCCACTTTGGCGCGCTTCACAGAGAACTCCGGAGCTCCTGCCGCTGCCACCGGAGACGCCCGCACGCCGGGAGCGGGTCGCGCCGCCATGGGTAACTCGCATGCGAAGCATGAGGAGAAGAAGCACGCGAAGAAGCCGCCCCAGCCTCCAACCGCCGCCGAGGAGTGCGCGGCGCCGGGGAGTGCCAAGGCGCCGCCATCCGGGTCCCGGCTGCGCGACGCCTACCACGTCGAGTCGAAGATTTTGGGCGAGGGCCACTACGGGACCGTGCGGCGCTGCTCGCCGCGGGGCGACGCGACGAAGCGCTTCGCCGTGAAGAGCATCAACAAGTCGCGCGTGCACCGGCCGGAGATGCTCAAGCGCGAGGTCGAGATCATGAAGGCCGTGCGCCACCCGAACATCATCGAGGTCGTCGAGGTCTTCGACGAGCCCGACTTCCTCCACATCGTCACGGAGCTCTGCCGCGGCGGCGAGCTCTTCGACCGCATCATCGCGAAGACTTCGAGCCGCGAGAAGCACTTCTCCGAGGCCGACGCCGTGGGCATTTTAGCCCAGATCCTCGAGGCCGTGGGCTACTGCCACGGCTTGGAGCCGCCCGTCGTCCACCGCGACCTCAAGCCCGAGAACTTCCTCTTCGTCACGGAATCGGACGACGCCGCGGTGAAGATCATCGATTTCGGGCTCTCGAAGTACGGCCCCGCGGGCGAGGACCACATGCACACGCGCGTGGGCACGCCCTACTACATCGCGCCCGAGGTGCTGAAGCGCGACTACACGCTCAAGTGCGACATCTGGTCCGTCGGCGTCATCGCGTACATCCTCCTCTGCGGCTACCCGCCCTTCTTCGGCGACAACGACAAGGAGATCTTCCGCCGCGTGTCCGCGGGGTCCTTCACCTTCCCCTCGCCGGAGTGGGACCACATCTCCGGCGACGCCAAGGCCTTCGTGTCCACGCTGCTGGATCTCGACCCGGAGAAGCGGCCGACGGCGGCCGCGGCGCTCGAGGACAAGTGGATGGCGAAGCACGACGACCACCACCGCGCGCACGTCAGCCGCCACGCGTCGAACCCGGCGGTGCTCGCCGCCGTCGCGCGCCGCATGGAGCGCTTCGTCCACATGGCCAAGCTCAAGCGGCTCGCGCTCAACGTGCTCTCGCGGAATCTGACGGGCCGCGAGATCAAGGACCTCCGCCGCGTCTTCGAGGCCATCGACCGGGACAGGAGCGGCAAGATCTCGTCCGCCGAGCTCCACGACGCCTTGAAGCCCCACCTCGAGCGCGACCACGTCGACGCGGCGACGCTGCTGCGCGCCGTCGACATCTCCGGCGACCACGAGATCGACTACAACGAGTTCCTCGCGGCGACGATGCAGCGCAACCTCTACCAGAAGGACGACAACGTCAAGAAGGTCTTCGCGCAGCTCGACCTCGACGGCACGGGCTGCATCACGGTGGCGAACCTCGTCGAGATCACGGGCTCCAAGAAGCACGCCATGGAGCTCCTCGACGAAGCGGACCTCGACCACGACCACAAGATCTCCTACGCCGAGTTCAAGGCCCTCATGCTGAAGAAGTAGGCCCGGGGGGTCGCGCGCGCGGCGCGCACGTCGAAGCTCGCTTAGTCGAAGGAGAGCGGGAGCGTGATCGTCGTCGGCGCGGCCGCCGCGGGGAAGCGCGCCTCGCCGAAGGCCGCGGCGAGGAGCTCGCGGACCGTGGCGTCGTCGGGGCACTCGGCCTCGAGGGCCTGCTCGCTCGGGTCGACCTTGAGCGTGTCGCAGAGCGCGTCCGCGGACGCCACGGCGCCGTCCGCGCGGACGACGAGCCGCACGGCGAGGAAGCCGACGACGCGCGCGAGCCCGAGCTCGTCGAAGGCCGCGTAGGCCGCGCCGAGCGCGTCCTCGAGGGCGAGGGCCGCGTCCTCGACGAGCTGCTCCTCGTCGTCGGCGAGGCCGCCGTCGGCGACGGGCCGCGGCTGCGAGAACCAGCCCGTGAGCACGAGGCGGCCGCGCCGCGGGTCCGCGCTGCCCTTGACGCGCGACACGGCGTGGGGCACGCGGCCGTCGAAGACGAGCAGCCGCCCGAAGGGCGTCGGGTCGTGGCGCTCGACGATCGACGCCGCCTCGAGGCCCCGGGACCCGTCGTAGCCGCGCCAGTAGTCCAGGACCCCCTGGTCCAGGAGCAGCGTCTCGCCGCCCTCGAAGTGGCTCGGGGTTTCGCCTACCAAGCATGACGGTGACGATGTCTCATGGGTTTTCCCACCCCGAATCTCTCGAACATCGTCGCGGCCGCGGGACGCCGGGCCTCGCTCTCCGCGCGGCCGTGGTACCCGTCGGGCGTCAGCGAGAGCACGAAGGCCCAGGGCCCGTGGGATGCGTCCGTGTGCCAGCCCATCTCGTGGCCGTCCGTGTAGAGCGCGAGCCACGGCGGCGTGAACGCGTCGCAGCCGAGGCGCGATCGACCGAAAGCCGCGAGCTCCTCGCAGAGCGCCTCGAACTCGGCCTCCGGAAAGTAGCTCGACGCGGGCGTCCGCAGCATGCTGTACTGCAGGCCCGAGCCGCCGGTCCTCGCGGGCGCCGCGCGCGCGGGCTTGAGCTTCGCGTCCTTGGCCCTGGCCGCCGCGACCGCGGCCTCGAGCGAGCCCGTTTCCGAGTCGGCGTCGGAGTCGGTTTCCGAGTCGGCGTCGTCATGGGCGTCTCCAGCCGTTTGACGAGATGCGACCGCGGCCTCGAGCGCGTCGGTTTCCGACGCGTCGCCGTCGGCGTCGTCGTCTCCGGCCGCGACTCGGGACGCCGGCATGTCCTCGTGCCGCCGGCTCACGTGCCAGGGATCCCAGGCGTAGCGCTCGCCGTGGCTCTCGCGCGGCGACGCGAAGCGGTCGTCGAAGATGGCCCGCAGGCTCCGGGCGCTCGGGATCGCGTCGTCGGTGGCGATGACGTGCTGATAGGTGCTCTTTGAGAGCGGGGTCAAAGAGGTCGCCGTCGCGATGAGTGTCGCGAGTAGGGTGCGCATTGTTTGTTGCGTTGTTTCAGTGCGTCGCGCGCACGGTGCTAGCAGCGCGCGGCGCTTCCGATGTGCAGCGACAGGACCTGGCGCGCCGATCAATCGCAGAAGACAGCCATAGCTCGCCTTCGAGTGCTCCTTGAAGTTCAAGAAAAACGGAAGCGTACAGCCGTATGGCGACACGTACGCGAAGCACCGGTACCACACGAAGATGCGGTGAAGAAGCGTGGCTTCGTACAAGCATGGGCTTAGGCGACCTGGAGCGTCGCGCGGCACGTCGGGCACGTCGTCTGGCTGCGCGCCCAGTCCGTGATGCAGTCCTTGCAGAAGGGGTGGCCGCAGACGAGCGTCGCGGTGGCGCCCGTCATCGGGTCGAGGCAGACGGGGCACTCCTCTGGCTCCTCCTCGGGCTCGGGCTCCTCCTGGGGCGGCTCGGGCTCCTGGACGCGCGCGCGCTTCTTGGCTCGCGCCGCCGCGAGCTTCTCGACGTCGGCGGCGGCGTAGGTCTTGACGTCGCAGGCGGATCGAGCTTTGCCGCTCTTCGGCCGACGCGCGATCTCGAAGGGGAAGTCCGCCAAGAGTTGCCAGCGGAGCTGCGGGTAGCGCTTTGTGGCCGTCCTCGCATCGTACCGCGCGCCCGATTCCACCTCGAGCCAGCGCGGGTCGACCGGTTGCGGCGCGTGGTTGGCGGCGAGCGCGTCGACGTCGGCGGCGGCGTAGGTCTTGACGTCGCAGGCCCGTGAGTTCTCGTGGTCGCTTTGCTTCGGCTGTCGTGCGATCTTGCTCGGCAGGCCATCGAACGAGTGCCAATTCAGATGCGGGTAGCGCTCCATCGCCGTCTTCGCCGTGAACCGCGTCCCCGCCTCGACCTCGCGCCAGCGCGGGTCGACCTGGTCCGGCGCGGCGAGGCGCGCGGCGAGCGCGTCGACGTCGGCGGCGAGGTAGGTCTTGACGTCGCGGGCGCTGCCACCACGACCGGGGCCGCTCTTCGGCTGTCGTGCGACCTCGCACGGCAGGTCATTGAACGACTTCGTGTTCAGCTGCGGGTACCGCTCCATCGCCGTCGCTCGCGTGAACCGCGTCCCCGCCTCGACCTCGCGCCAGCGCGGGTCGACCGGGTCCGGCGCGGCGAGGAGCGCGGCGAGCGCGTCGAGGTCGGCGGCGAGGTAGGTCTTGACGTCGCGGGCGCGGTCACCGAAAGCGTCACCCTTCGGCTTCTTCGCGATCTCGCTCGGCAGACCCTTGAACGAGCTCAAGTGCAGCTGCGGATAGCGCTCCATCGCCGTCTTCGCGGTATACAGCGTTCCCGCTTCGACCTCGCGCCAGAGGGCGACTTTCGCCTCCATCGCCCGCCCTTCGGTCACTTTTGGCCCCCCAAGAGCGGCGACGGAAGCCGGAGAACCGCGTCGGCCGAGTCTCACGACGGCTGTGGATATTCGTGCGGCTTTGGCGAGCCTCTAGAGGCCTGAGCCTCCCAGGACTCAAGGCGACCGCCGCCCCAAAAACAAAACACACCCGCGAGCCTTACCTATCCCGCCCGAGGAAGACGCCGAGCGCCTCGCAGTGGTCCCAGCGGAACGCGTCGTAGACGAAGGGCAGCGCGTTCGACTTCGGGTCGAAGGCCTCGAGGAGCTGGGCGTTCGTCACGGTCTTCTCGAGCCCCTCGCTCAGGAGCGTGTCGACGTCCATGTGGACCTCGTCGAAGGACCGGTGGCCCGCGCAGGCGCCGCCGTAGACGGACGCGGTCTCGTCGTCGGGGAAGGCCCGGTCGTCGAAGCCGTAGTGGAGCACCTTCCAGTGGTAGAGCCGCTCGAGCGTCGGGTGGATGGGCCAGAAGGAGATGTCCACGGGCGACGCGGACTCGAGCTGGTCGCCCACGAGGACGTCGGCCTCGCAGAGCACGTGGACGACGGACGCGACGCGCCGGAGGCCGTCCGCGGACGCGGCCATCTCGCGCAGCGTCTTGCGCAGGGCCGGGTCCGGCAGGACCTTGTAGCCGAGGTAGGCGTCGGCGAGCGCCGTGCCGTTGCCCGCGGCCGCGACGGCCGCGCCGAGCGCGGGGCACCCGCAGCGGCACGGCGACGCCGCGTCGTGCCGCCCGGACGCGTCCTTGTAGAGGAAGTCGAGGCGGCGCGCCGAGGCGGCGGAAGCTTCGTCGGAGGCGGCCGCGCCGTCGTCGGCGCGCGCGTCCTCTCCCGCCGCGAGGACGCGCCGCCCGCTCTTCACGACGCACTTCTCCGGGCAGGCCCGCAGGCCCAGCCGGTAGAGGTTCTTCGTCAGGGCGAACGAGAGCATCTTCAGGCTCTCGACGTCGCGGTTCGAGACGCCGAGGTGCTTGAGCGCGTCGTACTCCGCGTCGCAGCCCGTCGTGCCGCCGACGAGCACGTGCAGCGGCCCGTGGGGCGCCAGCATGGCGTCGTAGGCCCAGGCGGCGAAGGTCGACGTGTTGCGCAGCGACGCCAGGTGCGTCTCGCAGCTCGGCCAGCGCTGGCTCCGCGAGCTGTCGGCGCCGCACTGCGTCGCGGACCGCGTCACGAACGGGATCGGGTTGTTGTTCCAGGGCGCCCGCAGCAGGCCGAAGGCGTTGTGCGTCGTGTTCCAGGCGCCGCCGCGCACGGCCGCGTAGCCCCAGAGGCCGTCGGCGACGGGCGCGCCCGCGAGGCTTTCGAGGCCCGCGGAGCCGAAGAACGCGTCCGTCCAGAGCTCCGTCCGCAGTAAATCGGCCACCGCGACGTCGCCGGAGGCATCCCTCAGCGCCGCCTCCTCGATCGTAAAATCCCAGTAGGGCAGCGCCGCGCGGGCGTCGACCAATTGCACGGACTGCTCGAAGCGCATCGAGAGCGCCGCGTGCTGCGTGAAGAAGCCCAGGCCGTCGTGGATGTGGTCGCAGTCCTGGGCGCCGGCCTGCGTGTTGTGGAACTCGGCGAGGTCGTCGACGCCGACGTAGAGCGGGCCGTAGCGGTCGCGGCCCGCGGCCGTCGGCGTGGACCAGAGCTGGCGCGCCGCGGAGAGGAACGCGCCGCGGTCCTCGGCCGTCAGCGAGCGGATCTCGCGCCGCACGTAGCGGCAGTAGACGACGCTCGTGCGCGACGCGCGCGCGGAGGTGACGGCGAGGTCGTAGGTGCCGACGCGGTCGAGGACCAGGGTCGTCGCGGGCCCGCCGGACGCGTTGTGCGCGACGGCGTGCGACGGCCGCGGGCCCGTGACGGCGAAGGTCACGCGCCCGTAGTCGAGGGGGTTCTTCACGCGCACGACCGTCAGCCGCGACGGCTCGACGAGCAGCGCGTTCCGCAGCCAGGGGTAGGCCGCGCCGGCCTGGGGGCCGTACTCGTTGCGCGTCTCGAGCTCGAGCGATGTCGCTGCGGTGAGTTGTATTTCGTTGTCGGGTCTTCGCCTCGAGCTGAGCGCCGCGAGGGCCGCGAAGGTTAGGGCTACTACGACGAGCGGCGGGCGGAGGCGCCCGCCCATCATGGTGCTCACTGAATACACGGCGGATATGCTCGTTATTGATGTTGCGTTGCTGCTCCCTAAAAGGCTCTCCGCGCCGTGGTGGGCTGCGGGTCTGTCGCAGGCGCCGTGCGCCAGCCGCCGCTGTCCGCTGCACCAAAGCCGCCGCAATGGCTGCCCGAGACGAGACAAAACCGCTCCGCGTCGCCGCCATCCTCATCGGCTCCCTCGGCGACGTCGCGCCCTTCGCGGACCTCTTCTCGAGGCTGCCGCGCGTCGAGCCGACGATCTTCTGCCTCGACGAGGCCGTGGCCTACGTGGAGAAGCGCGGCATGGCCGCCGTGGGCCTTTTCAGCATCGAGACGTGGAAGGAGAACGAGACGACGCTCGACGGCGCGACGCTGACGGGCATGGACTTCGTCAAGGCGTGGATCCGCCACATGCTCGCGCCGGCGACGCTCGACGACTGCGTGGCGAAGATCCGCGAGCACCACGTGGCGCGACCGTTCGACGCCCTCCTCTACCAGACCCAGGCCTTCCCCGTCGTCTTCTTCTGCGCGGGCGACCTGCGCGCGCGCGGCCGGCGCCCCCGGTCTCGCGCGCGTCGCGACGGCGGCGTCGCAGGTCCCGTTCGTCAAGATCGAGGTCACGGAGAGCGTGCCGAACCTGATCCGGAACCCGTCCGTCGACTGCGCGTCGGTGGGGGGCGGCGTCCCGCGAGAGACGTTTTTCCACCGTCGTCGCCGACGCGCCCGGTAGGTGCCGACGTGCGCCATGCCCTACCTCTGGCACGCCTACTACGAGACCGTCTTCACCCTGCTGCTGGAGAACGGCTGGCGCGAGGCCTGCGAGCGCCACGGCCGCGAGATCGAGACGCCCGCGCAGGGCTACCAGCGCTCGCTCCACACGCCGCGCGCGGCGGCGCGGCGTGGAACGCGCCGCTCTTTCATCGCGCCGCGCCCCAGGTACCTCATCGGCAACGACGTCTGCTTCTCGGACTGCGCGGCCACCGGCGGCGCGCACGTGCTCGCGCACGACTTCCTCGCGACGCCGCGCTGGCGCGTCGACGACGAGGCGCCCGACGCCGAGGCCGCGGCGGCCGTCGAGGCCTTCGTCGCGGAGCACGGCCGCGTGGGCCTCGTCTGCTTCGGCTCCATGCGCGCGCGCGGCGTCGGGGAGGTTCTGATGCGTCGTTCTTCGTCGATCGCCCCGCGGGCGAGTCCTCTTCGTCGTCGATCGCGCGGCGCCCGCGGGCGAGTTCTCGATAGCCCGCCCCCGCAGGCTCTTCTATGAGCCCGCGCAGCTTGCGGCGTGCGGCGCGGCGCCCGGAAACGCGATTCCCCCCCTCGGCAGTCACGCGAACCCGGGGAAGCCGCCGAGGCTCGACTCCTACCCGGACACGTGGGCGGATCTGAGGGGGGGGGTGGGCGGTGGGGGGGTGTTTTGCGGGGCGTTTTCGTAAAACTTTAGAAAACTCAAATGATTTAGAGTAGATGTTTTTGGAATACAAATTTCTTTTTCTTTTCTTTCTCGTGAATTCATAGGCCTATCTGTTTTTGGAAGCCGCAAGAAGTAATTCGTCGACCTCGAAGGAAAGCGCTTCGAGGTCGGCGGTTCGTGTGGATGTAGCTCAAATTTCAAGGGAATTTCCTGAAATAGTACTGTGGTAGAGCGTTCGATTGCAGTTCGAATGGCCGCCGGTTCAATCCCGGTCATCCACTTGGTTGGTTTTCCACTTTTTATCACGCTCCGGTGGCTCAGTGGTAGAGCATGACACTAGTAATGTCAAGGTCCGTGGTTCGATCCCGCGTCGGAGCTTTCTTTTTTTTTGTCCCCCTGGGGATATCAAGTCGCGTCAACGCTGCAAACGTTTTTTTTTGGCTTGCAAGTCTCACAAGTCCCACCGTGACCTGCACGTCCAGAACTGCCGCCCCACCCGGCAGCAACCGCAGCCGGGGTCACGGCGGACCGCTCGGTGGTCCCAGACTGCGCGACAAACGACCGTGTCGACGCCTGCGGCGCCGCGACGCGCATGGACAGCGTGCATCGACGCAAACAGCCCCGGCGACGCAGCCACACACGCAATGGGCGAAGCAAAACCCAGCATGGCCAAAGTAAACCCCGGCGACTCCATCCTGCTCGCAACGTCCAACGACACGTACCAGTTCGTCGACGCGAAGCCGTCCGTCAAGTTTCGCATCGGCAAGCAGCAGGTCAAGGCGACGGACCTCGTCGACGCCAGCTTCGGGCAGCTCTTCACGCTGCAGAATAAGGCGCTCGTGCCGACGACGCGCGATGCCTTGAACATCACGCTCGAGGCCAGCAACAACAACAAGAAGGACAACCGCGACCTCGACGACGACAACAAGGCGCAGTCCCTCGACGCGGACGCGATCAAGGACATGCGGTCGCGGGGCGAGACGGGCGCGGCGATCATCGGCGCGCTCGCCGAGGGCAGCGCGACCTGGGACTCGAAGACGGAGTTCAGCAAGGCCAAGTGGCTCAAGCGCAAGGCGAAGAAGTACCTGCCCTGGGTCCAGGTCCTGGAGCCGACGGCGAACGCGATCGCCGAGGCGTACTTCGTGCGCGCCGCGGGCAAGGGCCGGCGTCGTGATTCGTGTTCTGTCTTCCGCGCCGCCGAGAGCGGCCGAGTCCGCGCGACTCTCGGAGCGCTACGGCGCGGCGGGGCGAGAGTTTCCCGCTACCCGGCTCTCGACGCGGTTCGCGACGCGCTCCCCCGAACCGCAGGCAAGGGCCGCGCGGTGCGGCCCGACGCCGTCGCGCAGCTCCTGGCCCGCGGCAACGTCCGCGCCGGCGCGCGCGTCGTCGTCGTCGACGCCTGCCACGGCGTCGTCGCGGGCGCCGTCGCGGAGCGCTGCGGCGAGCGGGGGAACGTGTTGTTGCTCTACGAGGGCCAGCAGGCGACGATGGACGCGGTGAAGAAGTTCAACTTCTCCGACGCCCTGCGCGGCGCCATCGCGACGGCGCCCGCCGACGTCTTCTACGCCGAGTCGTCGCGGCCCGAGGCCGAGTCGCTCGCGCGCGACGCCGAGGCCGCCGCGGCCGCCGCGGAGCGGACCGAGGACGCGCGGCCGCGCCGCGACCACGGCGCGACCTGCCGCGCCTGGCTGCGCGCGCGCGCCCACGCCCTCGTGCTCGCGCCGAGCCTCGACCCGCTCTCCGTGCTCCGCGCGACGCTGCCCGCGCTCCACCCGAGCTGCGCCGTCGTCGTCTACGGCGACCACCTCGAGCCGCTCGCGCGCGCGTTCGCCTGGCTCCGCGACTCGGGCCACGCCGTCCGCGTCCAGCTCACGGAGACGTGGCAGCGCGACTTCCAGATCCTCGAGAACCGGTCCCACCCGGACATGGCCATGACCGCGAACGCGGGCTACGTCCTCTCCGCGATCAAGGTCGTCCGCGAGGACGACGCGGAGCCGTCGCGGAAGCGGCCGCGCGAGGAGCCGGAGGGGTAACTTTACAACGGCACTTTCGGAAGGCGGAAATTTACAGCTCCCCGACGGCGGCGATGGCCCAGTAGCGGAGCTCCGGGCAGTGGAGGTCGACGTCGTCGCCGAGGCGGCACGGTCGCCACTCGTCGAGCGCCGGCGACAGCGCGATGGGCGGGCCCGCGCCGCCGAGCAACAGCGCCGTGCCCCGGAACGTGACCATGGTGCTGCAGGGCCGCGGCGGGCTCGGCAGCGGCGCCGCGGCCGTCCACGCGTCCGTCGCCGGGTCGTAGACGACCGTGTCGCGGCAGGGCTTCGTCTGGAGCCCCCGCCGGTGCCAGCCCGCCGACACGACGAGCTTGCCGCCGACGACGCAGGACGCCGCGCCCCAGCGCGGCGCCGGCATGGGCGCGCGCAGCGTCCACGCGGCCCCGTCGAAGACCTGGAGCGCCGCGGACGCCGTGAAGAGGTCGCCCTCCTGCCCGCCGGCGACGAGCAGCAGGGGACCGATGCAGCCGCCCGCGCAGGAGCAGACCGCCCGGGGCATGGGCGGCAGCCGCGCCTACCACGCATCGCGTTGATTTCCCGGTCAAGATCTCCCACGGGACGCCGAGCCGCGCCCACGCGCCGCGGTCGAGCGCCTCGACGTCCGCGACGGGCCGCGACGGCGCGACGCCGCCGGCGACGACGAGCCGCCGCCGGCCCGCGGCGTCGACGAGGACGCCGCCCGCGCAGCCGCCGCCGCGCGCGACGGCCATGGGCGGCACGGGCCGCCACGCGCCCCGGTCGCCGCCGAGCCGCAGGTTCCGCCGCACGCCGGACGCCGTGCCTGCGCGACGGACGTTTGTTTTTTTGCTCCCCGCGCGAAAAAACGCCGCGCCGCCTTCGCGCCGAGGTTGTCGTCGAGGCTGCCGCCGATGACGACCAACTCGTCGTCGAGGACGCAGGCGACGGCGCCGTAGCGCTTCGCGGGCAGCCGCGGCAGCCGCGACCACGTGCCGCCGGCGAACATCGACGCGTCGCTGAACGCGCGCCTGCGTGCGAATCAAATGTGAGAAGTATTCGAATGTTTCGACGCAAGTTCTTCTGCGCTTCGTGGAGAACTCGATGAGAGCAATCGACTCGTCCAAAAATCAGCCGAAACGACGTCGATTTGACCGAGTTTGGTCGGGGTTGATTTGCACACAGACGCGCGCGGCTTCGGCTGCCCGAAGCGGCCGCCGGACGTCGCGAGCACGGCCTCGACGAAGCCCGACGCGCGCCGCTCCTCGCGGAACGCCGCGGACGCGACGACGCGCGCGAAGAGGCGGCACGCGAGCCTGCGACGCGCGACGACGTCCCCGGTCAAAGTCTCGCGGGAGGACGATGATGCGTGGGCACGCCGACGCGCGCGCGGCGTTGCGGTGGTCGCCGAGGGGCACGCGCGCGAGCGCGGCGACGAGCACGTCCTCGGGCAGCCCCCGCACGGACGACGCGACGGGCCGCGGGGCTCGTCTCCTCCGGAAGAAGCCGGCGAAGACCGCGAACACCCGCAGGGCGAACGCGACGACGAACGCCCGGAGCCGGCGCCACCAGGCGAGCCGCGGCGCGGGCGTCGCGGCGAGCTGCTCGGCGCGAAGCTCCGCGAAGAACTTGGCCACGGGGTCCGCGTCCGGCGGGGCGCGCCGCGGGCGCCCGGCGACCGTCGTCGGGTCCAGGTCGCGGACCGCGGCGAGCCTACCACATGACGTTTCTGCGAAATCTCTCGACGACGCTGGGGCGCGCTCCGACAGGAACGTGGCCACGGACGCCTCCGGCGCGACGGGCGGCGAGAAGCGGTCGTCGTCGTCGCTGTCGGGCAGCTCGTCCGCGTAGCGCCGCGGCCGCTCTCGCAGCCGCCCGCGCCGCCGGCGCACGCGCACGGCGTCGGCCGCCCAGGGGCCGGGCCGGCGCTTCGACGCGCGCACGCGGAGCCGCTCGCGGCCGCCGGCCGGCGGCAGGAACGACGTCCGGCAGCCGTCGACGTCGCCGGGCAGGTCGATGGTCAGCCGCCGCTGCGCGGGCCCGCCGCACTGGACGAGGATGCGCCGCTCGGCGCAGGACACGCGCACGTCGTCGCGCCGCGTGCCGGACGCCAGCGAGAGGCGCAGCGTGCAGAGCGCGTCGGCGTCGCGGATCGACAGCTCGTCGGCGCCGTCGTCGTCGTTGGGCGACGCCGGTCCGTCGCTGCGGGGAGACGCCGGCGGCTCGTCGTCGCTGCCGAGCGCGGGAGAAATCGGCGGCTCCACGTGCGGCACGAGAGGCTCCACCATCGCACACGGGGCTGCAAAAGGCACTCTCCACATCTATTCTTCAGCGTTAACTTTAATATCCTGGGAAGGTGCCGCGACTGTTTAACTGTGTTGTCAAAGAGCGCTTACAAAAGCCGTCAAGCCGACGTGCATCTCGGCGCTGGTATCTGGCTGGACGTTCCACGCCTCGCGCCGTCCGCCGCCGCCGAACGCCGGCGCTCCTCGCGCCGGGCAGCGCCGCCACCGTGTCCTCCGTGCGCGCCGCCGGGTGGGCCCAGGCCGCGTCGAGGATGCCGGCCGTGGTGACGACGAAGAACGGCAAGGGCAACGCCAAGGACGACGCGAAGAAGAAGAAGACGCCGGAGGAGTGCGTCGTCTTCGAGAGCCTGAAGAAGCGCTACCACGGCTTCCACAAGGTCGGGAGCGGGTCCTACGGCGTCGTGTGCTCCGCGTTCGACCGCGAATCGGAGACCAAGGTCGCGATCAAGCGCGTGTCGCCCTGGGCCGACGACGAGTGGGACGCGCGCCACACGCTGCGGGAGCTGCGGCTCATGTACCTCCTGCGGGGCCACCCGAACGTCGTGAGCCTCCACGACGCGGTGCTCCAGCCCGCGGGCAGCGACGACCTCTTCATCGTCATGGAGCTCATGGACAGCGACCTGCACCGCGTCATCTCGAGCAAGCAGGCGCTCACGGGCGAGCACGTGTCCTGCATGATGGCCCAGCTCCTCCTGGGCGTCCAGGCGCTCCACGCGGTGGGCGTGCTCCACCGCGACCTCAAGCCCGGCAACGTGCTCGTGTCGCGCGACTGCCAGGTGCGCATCACGGACTTTGGCCTGAGCCGCTGCGTCGCGGACCTCACGGGCGCGTCGGGCCCGGAGCAGGAGCAGCGCGACGAGGCCGTGAAGAACCCGCTGACGGAGTACGTGGTCACGCGGTGGTACCGGTGCCCCGAGGTGCTCCTCGCGCCGCACCTCCCGTACGCGGCCGCGGTGGACTGCTGGTCCGTGGGCTGCATCTTCGGGGAATTGATCGCGCGGAAGCCCTTATTTCAGGGGAAGAACTTCGTGCACCAGGTGCAGGTGATCCTCGAGCGCCTGGGCACGCCGGACCAGCGGTCGCTGGGGTTCACGCCGCGCGAGGACGCCGCGCGGTTCCTGGCCAAGCAGCCGCGCCACGCCTTCCCGGGCATCGCGAAGCTCCTGCCGAGCGCGACGCCCAAGCAGCAGCACATGATGACCAAGTTCCTCCAGTTCAACCCGAAGAAGCGCTACACGGTCCAGGAGGCTTTGGCGGACCCCTACTTCGACGACGCGCCGGAGCTTCCCGCCGCGTCGCGCGCGTTCTACTGCGACCGGCCCGAGGAGCGCAAGCGCGGCAACGCGACGCCGGCGCTCCTCGACTTCACGAAGCGCGTCACGTCCGACCCCTGCTTCGACTTCAACTTCGAGCGGAAGAACGCGACGCTCGACGAGCTCAAGCGGTCCATCGTCCACGACGTCAAGGCGACGAACGCGTCCGTCGCCGCCCGCAAGAACGAGCCGGCGCCGCCGCCGCTGCCGCCGGCGGAGGCCGCGGCGGCGGACCCGCGGCCGGGCGCCGCGGGCGCGCCGCCGCCGGACCGCGCGGCCGCGCCGCGGCCGACGCGGCCGCGGCCCGCGGCGGCCCAGCCGGCGGCGCCGGGCGCCGCCGTCGCGCCGAACCCGCGCACGTCCCGCGCCGCCGCCGCGGCGAAGCGCGCGCGCGCGGACCAGGCCGCGGCGCGCGCGCCCGCGGCGCCGGGCGCCGCGGCCGACGCGGCGCCGGCCGAGGGCCGCTGGGCGAACCGGTCCCACAGCGGGCCGCTGGCGGCGCTGCCGGACAACGGCGTGCCCGCGCGCCACGACGACGGCACGGACCGCCAGCGCCGGGCGAGCGGCCGCCGCGGCGTCGGCTCCGCGAGCGACGCCAAGCTTTTGACGATGCGCCACGACTACGTCGAGCGGAGCTCGGCCGCGACGTCCGCGCGCGCGTCGTCCGTGCCCCACGCCGAGCCGGACCGGAACCGGCGCCACTCCGTCGGCCCGACGACGGCGGCGGCGCCCCGCGGCGACCGGCCGCCGGGCGCGCAGCCGGGGCCGCGGCCTTCCGACGGCCGCGCCGCGGGCAACGAGAACGCGCCCGCGCGCGGCGACAGCCGCGAGTCCCAGGCGTCGACGCCGGACCAGTTCGCCCACAAGGTCGCGGCCATGAAGCAGCCCGGGCCCGCGCCGGACAACGGCAAGCGGGGGTCGGGCCGGCCCGCGGGCGACCCGGACCGCGCGCGCCGCGGCTCGCGGTCCCGCATGTTCGCGCTGCCGAGCCTCCGGCCGCCGCGCCAGCAGCACGGCCGCATCCGCCCGTCCAACGGCCTCTCGCCGAACCCGTCGCCGCGCAACAGCGCGCGGTCCGCGGCGTCCGCGCGCGCGGGCTCCGCGGCCGCGGCGCCCGCGGCCCAGGCCGCCGCGGGCGCGCCCGCGCACCGAAACTCCACGCAGCTCCAGCTCGCCAACGTCCCCCGCAACGGCCAGGGCGGCCTCCTCTCGCGCCTCCGCTCCGTCTCCGCGCGCTGATCGCGGCGCGCCGCGACCGACGCGACCAAGCCCACTCCCCCGAAAGCCCCCGCCCCCGCCATCGATACCGCCCGCGGACTCATACAAGGTCCCGCGATACTCTATACACCGGAGCTCATACACAGGTGGCCGCCGCGACGCGTCGCCGCCATGACGCGTCGTCGTCGCGACTCGGACGAGTGGGCCGTCACGACTCGGACGAGTGGGCCGTCACGACGCGGCCTCGTCCGCGGCGCGCTTCTCCATCGCCGCGAAGTAGCTATCGGCAGCCTGATAGACGTTGCCGCGGCGCGATCTCCTCGATTCCGTCCTGAAGGCCTCGAAGTTTTCCCGGAGCTCCGCCTTGAACTCCTCGGCGGTCAGCTCGTTGGCGTCCGGCGCAAAGGTGCTGAAGCGGCCCGTGGCGCCGCGCTGGTCGACGTCGCCGTTCTCGGCGCGGCGCGTGGGCGCGCTTCGTTTGAAGACGGCGGCCTGGTGCACGAAGCCAGAGACGGCGGTCAGAGCGAGTAAGAGCGCGCGCATTCCCAGCCACGTGCGTCGCATCGGCAGTCGGGGTAATTAGTTGACGTCAACGTTGCCATGATACAGGAAACGCCCCTGCACGAGCTCGGTGAGAGCTTCGCGTTGGAACCGAAGTGTTGCAGCCCGCCACCTGACTCGGCGGCCGCAGCCCGACCATGGCGCCGGCCAGCCCCTCGCGCGAGCCCGGCGCGTTCGCGAAGAACCGGCGGACGATGCGGCGCGCTTCCACGTGCTGCGCCGGCGTCTGCGGCGAGGACATCGCCCAGCTGGCCTTCGAGGAGGGCGTGAACCTCGAGGACCAGGTGCCCGTGCGCGCGCGGGGGCGGAGCATCATCAACCTGCAGCCGGCCATGCGCAAGTCCATCGTCGTCGCCGCGGCCGCGCCGCTCGTGTCGCCGCGGACCGCGGAGGTCCAGCTCGACGCGGCCGTCTGCGCGGCGCTGCTGGAGACGCTGGAGCTCCGGAAAACCTACGCGGCGGCGCGGCGCGGCGAGGCCGGCGGCGCGCCGGAGGTCGCCGTCGGCATGCCGTCCGAGGCCGCCGTCGCGGCGCTGAATCGAGTGGTGGAGGTTTCGCAGGACCCGGACGTGCAGGCGTTCTGCCGCACGCGGTGCCTCATGCTCGAGAAGCGCTACGACATGTACGACCTCGAGCACCAGTACCGGGAGCACGAGGACCAGGCCAAGTGCAACACGGACTTCCACTCCGTCGCCAAGGCCGACACGCACATCCACGCGTCCGCGATGATGACGGCCGTGCAGCTCGACCAGTTCATGCGCCGCATCTACGAGCGCGACCGCGACCGGCCGCTGGACGACAAGGGCAAGACGGTGGGCTCCGCCATGCGCGGCGCGGGCTTCCAGACCAAGGGCGAGCACAACGCGGAGTCCTTGAACGTGCAGGCGAGCTACCGCATGTTCGGCAACTTCAAGAACTTCAACGCGGCCTTCACGCCCCTCGGCAGCCGCGAGCTCAAGTCGTTGTTCATGGGCTACGAGGCCCTCGAGGGCGAGTACCTCGCGGCCATGGTCCGCGAATGCGCGGGCGTCGCGCACGAGGGCGCGGGCGCGTTCCTCGAGCCGCGCTTCTCCATCTACGGCCGCAAGCCGAGCGAGTGGAAGACCTTCGCGAGATGGGTGCGCCGCTGGCAGGTCGACGAGATGCCCGGCGTCTTGATCGCGATCCAGCTGCCGCGCGTCTACCCGGTCTGGCGCCGCATGGGCGCAGTGACGTCGTTCGGAGGCATGCTCCGCAACTTCTGGGGGCCGCTGTTCGAGGCGGCGCTGTCCGACGAGGACGACGACGTCAAGTGGCTTTTGGACAAGATCCGCGTCATCGACACGGTCGACGACGAGTCCATCGAGGACCACCCGGACCTCGCGGGGCTCTGCGGCGCGGACGACTGGACGTCGGAGAAGAATCCGCCCTACGGCTACTACGCGTACTACATGCACGAGAATGTGGCGCGGCTCAACGCGCTCCTGCGGGCGAGGAAGCTCCGGTCGAGCCCGCTGACCTTCAAGCCCCACGCGGGCGAGGCGGGGCCCGCGGACCACTTGGCGACCGCGTTCCTCTTCAGCGACGGCGTGTCGCACGGCATCAATCTGGAGACGCAGCAGGAGGCCGTCGCGCTCCAGTACCTCTACTACGCGGCGCAGGTGCCCATCGGCGTGTCGCCCATCTCCAACTCCGTGCTCTTCCTGAAGTACGCGCAGAACCCGTTCCCGACGCTCTTCAAGCGCGGCCTCTGCGTCGCGCTCACGACGGACGACCCGCTCATGTTCCACACGACGCCGACGCCCCTCCTCGAGGAGTACGCGACGGCGCGCCACGCCTTCGCGCTGAGCTCCGTGGACATGTGCGAGATCGCGCGCAACTCGTGCGTCGCGGCCTTCAGCGACGAGGAGCGCATGGACCTCCACAACGACGAGAACCCGGACTGCACGAACGTGCCCGCGTGCCGCCTGAACTTCCGCCAGGCCACGCTCCAGGGCGAGCTCGACCTCCTCGCCGCGCGCGGCGGGGCCCTCTAGGGGGCGGTGCGTAGCTCGAGCGCGGCGGGCGGAGGGCGACGAGTGCGCGCGGGGCGGCGGCGGCGACGACCCCCGGCGCCGGCTCCCGGCGCGGCGGCTGTCGAAGCGCCACGAGCGACGGCGCTTCGACCTCTCGATTGGCATTCGGCAAGCGCCACCATGGCGTCCGAGCGGCCCGTAGCCGCTCCCCTGGACTCTCTCCAATCCCTCTTCGGCATGCCAAAAGCCACGCGCGTGACGCTGCGCCGCAAGATCGACAAGCCCGCGAAAAAACGGCGGCGCCTCGACATCCAATCGCTGTCGCCCGTGAGCAGCTTGACGCACGAGATCTCCGTCGATGCCGGCCTCTCGGAGCCCGAGAGCGGCGCGTCGCAGCTGTCGTCGAGCGGCGCGAGCCGGGCGCTCTTCGCCGACGCGCCGCGGAGCGCGCGGCCCGCGCGCGGCGCCGCGGACGCGTACAAGCCCGGGCCGCGGCGCACCTACGGCGACGCGGGGCCCGCGGCGCCGGCCGAGGCGTCGGTCATCGACCCCTTCACGCGCGAGTACCGGAGCGCGGCGCTCGCGCGGTCCGACGCGGAGCCGTCCGCGCTCGCCGTCTGCGACGAGCGCGCGTACCGCGCGCCGTTCGCGCGTGCCCGGCGTCCCCGGAGCTTCGAAAGCGTGCCACACGTCCGACGCCAACGCCCCCACAGGCGCTCATCACGAAGAAGAAGACGGGCACGGCTCCCGAGCGCCGCGCGCGCGGCCGGCGTCTCGGCGGAAGCGGAAGCGCCCCGCGCGACGCGCCCCTCCTCCGCAGGTGCTCGTGGACCGCCCGTCGGACGCGCCGACGGCCTTCGAGGTGCGGAGCTACCTGGGCCACGGCGCGACGGGGGCCGTCTTCGAGGTCGAGCGCGACGACTCGGACGACTCGGACGACGGCCGGCCGCTCGCGCTCAAGGTCGAGCGGGGCGAGCGGTCGACGCTGCGCTTCGAGGCGCGCCTCGCGCTCGCCGTGCGCGCGCGGACGTCGCTGGCGCCGCGCGCGGGCCGCGTCGTCGAGCCCGCGGGCCTCTGGCTCTGGAGCGACGCGCAGGCGATGTCGATGCCGCGCTACGACGCGACGCTCGCGGACGTGCTGCGCCTCGCGGGCGGCCGCACGACGGCCATCGGGTCCCAGCTGCTGCCGGAGCCCGTGGCCCTGTTTCTGGCCGTCGCGGCCATGGAGGCCGTGCTCGCGGTCCACGACGCGGACGTGCTGCACCTCGACGTCAAGCCCGACAACTTCCTGGCCATGCTCGGCGAGGACCTGGACGGCAGCGCCTGCGTGCTGCGCGGCGCCGGCGACGTCGCGGACACGGCGGCGGCGAACGGCTTCGGCCTCGTGCTCATCGACTTTGGGCGCGCGGTCGACCGGCGGAGCCACGCGCCCGGGACGCGCTTCGAGACGGCGCACGACCACGCGCACCTCGCCGAGTTCGAGTGGCCCCGGGCCGTCAAGGACGGCCGCCGCAAGCGCAAGGGCGGCGACGACTCCTGGACCACGGAGCTCGACGTCTACGCGCTCGGCGTCTGCCTGCACCTGCTCTGCTCGAACCGCGGCCCGAGCCGCGACGGCCACCGCGCGGCGCTGCCCCGGGCCTGGGACCGGCCCCTCTGGACGGCCCTCCTCGACGCCCACCTCGTCGTCGACGGGCCCCAGCCGACGCGCGGCGCGCGCGCGGCGCTCGTGGCGCGCGCGCGCCGCGCGCTCGACGCCAGGTGCCCCAACGGCTTCGCGTCCCTCCTCGGGCCCCTCCTCCGCCACCTCCGCGCCGACGACTAGGTAACGTTTTCCCTACCAAGTTACCGGCCGATCGCGCCGCCGCCGCCGCGCGCCATGCCGCCGCCGTAGAGCGCCGAGTTGCCGCGGAACGGCTCCCCCGCGCCGCCGCCGACGCGCCGCTGGTCGCTCCGCGGCGAGAGCTTCGGCGCGGCGCCGCCGATGCCGCGGGGCGCCATGTCCGGCTCCGTCGTCCGCGGCGGCGACAGGCCGAGCGGGTCCGGCGCGCCGAGTCGCGCGTCGGCCGCGGCGCCGTCCGGCGCCGCGCCGCAGGCGCCCGCGGCCTCGGCGTCGTCGGCCTCGAAGCCGTCGGCGTCGTCGAGTGCGACGGCGTCCGACGGCGCCGCGACGGCCGCGAGCGTCGCCGCGACGGCCGCGATCGCGACCTCGGCGTCGCGGAGCTCCTCGAAGGCCTCGTCGAGCAGCCCGAACTCGCCGCCGGGGCCGTAGACGCGGATCTGCGGCGCGAAGGCCACGCCCGCGTCGGCGCACCAGCCCGCGCAGTCCGCGACGACCGCGCGGAACCCCGCCGCGGCGACGTCGCGCGCCCGCGCCGCGAACGCGATCTCGACGGCCGCGGACAGCGGCGTCGCGTCGTCGACGTAGAGCGCGACGGCGTTGGCCAGCGGCTCGTCGAAGGGGCGCTCGACGCGCTCCACCGTGCGCGCCGCCGCCAGCAGGCGCGCGGCGCGGTCCGCGAAGGCGACGAGCCGCCGGGGGAAGTTCGGCGCCGACACTCGGCCGAACGTGTCGCGCCACCGGTCCCAGGACGGCGAGGCCGCGCCCTCGACGGCGGCGGCGAAGCGCGGCGTCTCCGAGAGGCCCGGCTCCAGCGACGCGCAGACGGGGTCCTCGAAGACGCCCGCGAAGCCCTTTTTGTTCGTCTTCGCCTTCGCGTCGCCGTGCTCGCCGCACGCGTAGGCGCCGAACTCGACGGCGACGCCGCGGTCCTTCTCCCGGAAGGCCGCGGCCGCGGCCTCGACGAGGGGCGCGATGGACCGCGACATCATGCACGACGGGCTGTAGAGCATGACGATCCATAGAGTCGTGGAATTCGTCGCGTTCCACGCGAGGTCGCCGCCGTCTTCCTTTAGATCCGACGGCCGCAGCTCCGCGACGGCGGAGCCGTCGAAGAGGCCGCCGTCCTTCTCGTTGGCGAGGCGGAATTTTTCGCGTAACGCTTCGTCCGTGCCCTTCAGGCCGTCGTAGGCGCGCTGCGCGACGTCGAAGAGCGCGTCGGCGTTGGCCGCGGACGCCGAGGGGATCTTCGACTGCAAAAGCGCGCGCTTGTCCGGGTGGAGCACGCGCGACAGCTCGCGGAAGGCCTGCTTCACGGCCTTCGCGTCGGCGCCGCGGCCGACGCCGAGCGCGCGCCACGGCGCGAGCGCGCGTATCGACGCCTCCGGCAACGCGAGCAGCGACGCGGCGCGCGCGAGCGCGCCGTCGCCGCCGAAGTCGTCGCCGGCGTCGCAGGTGAGCTTCCACATCTTCCCGGGGAGGCCGTCGAACATGTGGTCGTCGCACTTGGTCCACTCGGCCTTGGACAGGCCCGGCTGCCCGAAGCGGCCGCCGATGAGGCAGTCCTCGCGCGCGCGGTCGCCCGTCTTCCGGATGATCTCGGCCCAGGGCCGCCAGGCCGCCGCGCCGCCGCCGAAGGCCGACCGCACGCGCAGCGTCGACCCGCCCCAGGCGTCGGCGTCTCCCTGCGAAGGTTCGCCCGCGTAGAGCAGCGACGACGTCACCTGGGCCCGGCCCTTGGGCTGCTCGCCGGGGAACTTGCCGCTGAGCGTCGCGCCGCTCGCGACGTGGCGCAGGGTCGCGAGCAGCGACGAGCCGTTCTCCGGGGACGCGCCGACGAGCGCCCAGCGGAGGTCCGCGCGCGCGGCCGCGTCTCCCGGGTCGCACGGCGCCAGCGCCAGGCCGTCGCGCGGCGGCGGCCGCGGCCGGATCGTCGCCTCGGACAACACGGTAGCCTGCTTGTTCCCGACGCGCACGGCGTAGAGCGACCCGCCGCCGGGGGACGCGGTGGAGACGGTCGCGGCGCGCCACGCGCCGCCCTGCACCTTCACCTCGACGTCGTCGCCCGCGCCGAAGGCGCGCGTCACGTTGCGCCCGCCGCCGCAGGCGCAGCAGGCCTGCTTCGCGGAGCCCTGGGGGAACGGGTGGGCGCCGTAGAGCGCGCACCAGCCGTGGCCGCGCGTCTCCTCGCGCTCGTACGCGGCGCAGCCGTTCGTGCCGTCGTGCCACGGGCGCGTCGTCTTGTTCGCGCCCGCGACGCGCCGGTCCTCGCAGACTGTGGATGGGTGGAACGTCGGGGTTTTGGTGAGGTTCTTGGTCGCCTCCGAGTCGACGCTGAGGCAGGCCGCGCCGCGGCTCTCCATGCTCTCGATGCGCAGCGTCGCGCAGTCCGCGAACTGGTCGACCCAGTCGTCGCGTTCGCTGCGCGTGAGCGCTACGGTGACGAGGAGCGCGGCGAGGAGCCGGTGCGTTGTGCGCCCTGGGCGCATGGCTGCGCGGCGGATATTTTTCACGGTCATCGCGTCGGAGAGGAGAGCTTGTTGCCGGCAACATTGTCTTAGCAGGTCCTCCTCCGGTCGATGGAGGACGCGGATCTCGATCTCGACGGCGCGGAGATGCCTCTCGATCTCGATGGCGCCATCAGGGCGCTGCACTCCAGGGTAGACGAATGCGCCATGTCGGCGCTGCGAAGGCTCGCGCGAGACCCCGCCAACAACATCGCGATTCGGGAGGCCGGCATCCCGCCGCTCGTCGCGATGATGGAGAGCGGTAGCGCCGTCGCGAAAAAGAATGCCGCGCGCGCGCTTCGCGACCTCGTGAACATCAACGACGAGTTCAAGGCCATGATCCGGGAGGCCGGCGGTATCCCGCCGCTCCTCGCGCTTTTAAGCAGCCCCGGCTTCGACGCGAAAGGGTCTGCCATGGAGATGCTGTACAACCTCGCGCACAACAGCGAAGAGGGCAAGGGCGCGATTCGGGAGGCGGGTGGCATACCGGTGCTCGTCGCGGTTTTACGCGGCCCCAGCTTCTTCACCGGCGAAGACTACGCGTCGAAGTTGCTGTGGAACCTCTCGTTAAACGACGCCGGGAGCAAGGTCGCGGTTCGGGAGGCCGGTGGCATTCCACCGCTCCTCGCGCTGGTCGAGAGCGGCAAGCCGATGGCGCCCGCGCGCGAGGCTGCCACCCGCGCGCTGCTGGCCCTCGCGCGCAACAACGACGACAACGCGGTCGAGATCGCGCTGGCTCGAGGCCGCGGCGGGGCGCTGATGGAGCTCGCGCGGCGAGGCAGCGTCACCGTTCGCATTCGCATTCAAGACGATCCTGATCGCGTCTTCATCCGTCGTCTCGATCGCGTCGCGCCCGTCCAGGTGATCCATCTCACTTTCATCGTCGTTTGGAAGGCCGGCGCCGCCGCCAGGCGGAAAGCCGCGCTGGTCGTCGCCGCGCTGTTGCGCGACTGCTGCAAGTTCGCCGGGCGCGTCCCGCGGTACATCAAGCCCATCATCGAGTCCTATCTCTAGGAAGTAACGCGAAGCAATACCTCGGCACCGCAGCTAGAACCAGGCCTAGAACCGCAGCCGGAGTCCTCGCCGGCGCCAGCACCAGAGCGGCTGAGTTGCACAGAAAGGTCGACGTCGGCGCAATGTACGACCTCCCCTCAGTACGATGCGATGATCTCCTCCCCTCGAGCCTCGACAACATGAATGATCTTGATGCCGCGATCGCCGCGCTGCAGGGCGACGACGTGGTCGTTGAGGCGGAAGCCGCGCTGAAGTTATGGCTCCTGGCGGCCAGAAATGACCATCACACGGTCGCGATTCGGGAGGCCGGCGGTATCCGATTGCTCGTCGCGCTGCTCGAGAGCCGCAGGCATCGATTGAAACTACACCACTCCAAGCTAATACCGACGGTCTCGAAGGCGTTGAAGCAGCTCGCGCAGAACGAGGAAAATAAGGTCGCGATTCGGGAGGCGGGTGGCATACCCGTGTTCGTCGCGCTTTTGAGCAGCAGCAGCTTCGGCACGAGACAGTCTGCCGCGGATGCGCTGTTGACCCTCTCTCATCTCGACGCCGAGAACAAGGTCGCGATTCGCGAAGCCGGTGGCGTTCCACCGCTTCTCGCGCTGGTCGAGAGCAGCGGCCCCATCAGCAGCATCCCATGGCCCACAGCTCAGCGCCAGAACCTTCATGCGACTGCCGCCCGGGCGCTGCTGTCCCTCTCGTGCGACAACGACGACAACGCGGTCGCCATCGCGCTGGCTCGAGGCCGCGTCGAGGCATTCGTCGAGCTCGCGCGGCGAGGCCGCGTGGTCGTCTGCGCGGAATTTTTCGTTCAGAATGCCGGCGCCGCCGCCAAGCGGAAAGCCGCGCTGGTCGTCGCCGCGCTGTTGCGCGACTTCTACAAGCTCGCCGGGCGCATCCCGAGATACGCAAGGCCCATCATCGAGTCCTATCTCTAGGAAGTAATTACCTCGGCGCCGCCACGACGCCGTACAAAAACAGGTGGTCGCGGATCGCGTGGCTCGGGACGTTGTGCCAGCGGAGTCCCGCGAGGTGCGCGTCGATGTCGATGCGGTCACCGCGCAGGCCAAAGTAGGGCAGCGCGTGCGTGAAAAAGAGGAGGTCCGCGTCGTCGCGGAGCTGGAACGCGACGAGGATCTCCGGCGCGGCCGGGCCCGCGGCCGCGAGGAGCGCCGCGAGGGTCCGCGCGAGGGGCGCGTGGTACGTCGCGCGGAACAGGCAGTCCGAGACGACGATCGTCGCGAAGGACGGCGCGAGCAGCGCGACGCGGTCCGGCAGGGGCCCGTTCCAGTCGAAGGCCAGGAGATCGAGCGCGTTCGGGTCGTTCAGGGGCCTCCCGCAGGCCGCGGCGTTGACCTCGATGTTGCGCCGCGTCGACGGCAGCACGGCGGCGACGTCCGTGAACACGACGTCCCAGCCCGCGGCGAAGGCCGCGAGGCCCGCCGCGGGCGCGGCGCCGCAGCCGAGCTCGAGCAGGCGGCCGCGGCCCGGCCCGCGCCGCGCGAGCCACTCGGCGACGACGATCTCCGAGAACCAGAGCGCGCCGCCCGTGTCGCAGTCGCCGAACACGCTCTGCTGCTCGAAGACGAACTCGAGGCCCGGCGCGTGCACGAAACTATAGCGCGTCGCGTTGTGAAACGTCGGCGCGAGCATCGCGGTCCGCGCGCGCGCCTCGCCGGGCAGCGCCTGCCGCAGCGCGTCGAGGGCGTTGAGCGACGTGTCGTCATCGCCGTCGCTGTCGTCCGACAGCTCGTCGTCGGGCGACGGCGCGCGCGCCGTGCACCAGTAGCGCTCGTGGTGCTCGCGCCGCGTTAGCGGCAGCACGCCGCCGCAGGCGGCGCAGCGGTATTCTTGCAGCTGGGCAGCCATGCTTCTCTCTGCGAGCTTTTTAGAGCTGGGAGGCTGGGCCGCGGCGCGCGCGCGGGCGCCCACGAGGCTGGCGCCGAGGCGGCTCCCAACTCGGCTCACCAACGCGTCAAGCGCCAGTGTTGACCTCGGCCGCGCGCGCCGTTCCGCCGCCGCGCGCACGCCAAGCGCACGCCAACAGTCGCGGCAGGACGTGCATCGATCGCGCCGACAAGAAAAAGCCGCCGAACACCGCGCCAGGACGCGCCGCGATCCGCTACAGAGCATGGGCTCCGTCGCCTCGTCCTACGCCAACTTCTCGCGGCAGGAGCTCGTCCGGGACTGCGACACGCCGGAGAAGTTCGCGGCCTTCGTCAAAGAGCACTTTCCCGAGGACGCGGACATGCGCGAGCGGATCCTCGCGCGCGAACTCGTCGGCGAGCGGCTCCTCGCCGGCGCGGACGCCGAGGCCCTCGAGCTCTGCGAGGGCACCAGCGGCAAATTTCGATCCTGGGTCGCGCACCTGCGCGCCGCGCCGCAGCCCGGCGTCGCCGCGTCGCTCTGCTCCTGCGACGAGGAGGCCGCGCTGCCGGCCGCGCCGGACGCCGCCGCGACCGAAACCGTCGTGAGCCAGCCCGCGAAAACGGAGGTCGAGGTATAACAGTTCGCATCGAAATATAGGGGGGCACAGACAGTTACGACTAGTACGAGGCGGGCGACGCCGGCGGGACGCGGGGGCGCGGCGAAACAAGGAGGAGGAGGCGTATGGACACGTCGGCGCGGGCGGTCAGGGCTGCGGCGGCGGCGGCGGCGCGGAGCGGCCGACGCTGTCGACGAGGAAGTCGAAGTTCTCCGTCTTGTGGATCGCGGCACTGATGTCCTCCTTCTGCAGCGTCTTGCGCCTGTTCATCCGCGCGCATGAGTCCCCTCGAATCGTTCGGCGCGCGCATCGACGAGTCGCGCGTCCGCCGGCGGTCGCGCAGCATCCCGAATCATGTGAGACGCCGGGTGAACGCGCTTCGACTGCTCCGAGTAGCACCACGACCGCAGCGTGAGCTCGAGGATGAAGAGCTCGCAGGCCTTGGCGAAGAGCACGGGCGCCTCGGCCTGCGCGCTACTGTGTGCGGCGAAAGGGCAGCGCGTGGACTTGACGCGGGCGCGCGCCGAGATCATGCGCACGTCCTCGTCGGACTTCATGATGCGCTTGATCCGCGCGAGCGGCAGGTCGTTGTGCGTCTTGAAGCTCTGCTCCGACGTGATCTCCAGCTGCTCCATGTCGATGCTCTGCTCCTTCCAGAACTTCTTGAGGAACGCCTGCATCTGCCGCACGTGCCTGCGCAGGGGTGGGCGCGCGCTAACCTCGCCGGCCGCAGCGGGCGCGGAAACGCCGGCGCCGCGCTGGTCGTTATCTTCCGGCACCTCCGCGCCGGGGGGCACCCCCGGTGGCATCCCGCCGGGACCGCCGCCGAATTGGGCCATCGGCGAGAAGGGCCCCGAAGGTTGCGCGCGACGGGGACGGCCGCGACGATAGTGAGCAGCCCGAAGCCTAAACTGGAGCCACCAATTGTGAGGCTGCTCGTTGAACGTCAGCTTAGACGCTGCAGCGCTAATGGCAATACGATGATGGGCCCGCCGCAGCCCGCGAGGGACCCAGATCGCGGCCGCCGCCGCCTGCTCAAGTCGCAGAGCGATGCCGCGCTCGCAGCGAAACGCAAATCACACCAGGAGCGGGCAGCAGCGCTCGTGGGCACGCGCGATTTGGCCTGGCATCTGCGCCGCAGCCAGGTCCAGGTGCTCCCGCGGAAGATGGCGACGAGCGCCTCGGCCGACGCGCTGCTGGCGCCGCTGCGCGCCGCGCGCGGCGGCGGCGCGGCGGCGGCGGCGCGCCTCGGCAAGGGCGGCGGCGGCGGGTCGCGGCTCCTGCGGCCGACGGCGAGCTCGAGCCTCCGGGACCGGCGCGAGGCCGCGCTCGCGACGGCGACGCGCAACGCCAAGGCGCTCGTCGCGTCGTCGAAGCGCGTCGCGCGCATCAAGCGCCACGCGGCCAAGGACTACGCCGCCGAGGACGCGAAGCTGCCCGCGTCGCCGCCGCCCGAGTCGGCGCGGCGCGCGGACGCGCGGCGCGCGCTCGCGCTGGACCACGCGCGGGACGTCGAGGCGGACCGCGCCTCGCAAGGCGACCGGTCGCCGCGGTCCCTGGACTCGGCGGACCCCTTCGTCGTCGACGCGTCGCGCGACGACGCGACGCGGAGCCCGCGGTCCGTCGTCGTCGGCCGCCTCGTCGGCCGGACCATCGACGCGCTGGGCGCGGGCGACTACGGCACCGCCGCGGCGTCGCAGCCGCGGCCCTACGCCGTCGAGGCGCTCGTGGGCGACGGCCACGTCCTCGTGCCCCACGCGGGCCTCGGCCCGCGGCGCAGCGAGGCGCTCGTCCACGCGCTGGGCGGCGACGCGGCGCCGCCCGTGACGCAGCTCGACTGCCGCGCGAACGGTTTGGAGAGCGGCTCGTGCGCGCGGCTCCTGGCCGCGTGCCTGCGCCGCGCGTCCCTCGAGGTCCTGCGCCTGTCGGCGAACGACGTCAGCGACGGCGCGATGCGGCGAATCGTCGCGTTCGTCGGCGCCGAGGGCTGCCCCCTCGTGGACCTGCAGCTCGCCCGGGCGAAGCTCCTCGACGCGCGGGGCCTGCCGGCGGCGCTGCTGCGGCCCTGGCAGTCCGCGCTCCAGATCTTGGACGTGTCGCGCAACGACCTCACGCGCTTCGTCGACGACGACGGCGTCCGGGCCTACGACGCCTACAGCGGCGTCGCCGGCGCGCCCGCGGGGGCCGCCGCGCCCGCGCCCCGGCGCGCGGACGGCGGCGCGCGCAAGGCCGTCCGCGTCTCCGCGGGCGCGCCGACGCTCGCGCGGTTCCGCCGGCGGTCGTCGATGGCCGCCGCGGAGCGGCGCGACACGGGCGGCGACCGCCGCACGTTCGTGAGCGGCTTCGGCGGCGCGGACGTCGGGGCCGCGCTCGGCCTGTCGCCCGTGCTCGTCAAGCTCGCCGAGGCCAAGGCCGCGCCGGAGAGCGACGACGACGACGACGACGACGACGCGCGGCGCCGGCGGCACAAGGAGAAGGAGTCGATGACGACGCAGGAGGCGCGCGAACGGACCTCCCAGCTCCTCGCGGACCGCATCTTCGCCGAGGCGTCCTACGAGCGCAAGCTCGAGCGCGACAAGAAGACGTTCCGCGTCGACTTCGCCGCGTTCCTGCCCTACTGGCACCTCGTCCAGTACGGGTCCGGCAAGAAGGCGAACCGCGCCTATACCCACCTGTTGAGCACGCTCAAGCACGTGCTGCGCATCCTGCGGCTGAGCGGGCCGGAGGCCCGGGCGCGGAGCACGTCCGTGAAGCTGCGGCGGCTGCGCCAGTTCTCCGACGTCGTCGGGCTGTCGCGGGACCGGAGCGGGCTCTACGCGCCGCTCGTCGCGGACGTCTACGTGTCCGTGCTCCGCCGGGCGCTCGACGGCCGCGGGCGCGCGCTGGACGTCTTGCTGGACGTGGTCCCGACGCCCGCGGGCGCGCCGGCGCCGGACAAGGAGCGCGTCAAGGAGAAGCCCCGGGGCTGCCGCATGACCGCCGCGGACGTGCGGACCGCGCTCTTCGGGAAGGACGCGACGAAGGACGCGGCGACCTGGGACGCGCCCCTCTTCAAGCGCCTGGCCTTCGACGACCTGCTGCGGACGCTCTGGCTGCGCGCCGACGCGCTGAGCGACGAGGGCGACGCGACGCTCGACGACGTCCTGGAGCTGGCGCTCGACTTCGCGTTCGAGTGCGCGGCGTCGGCCCAGGAGAAGCTCGTGCAGCGCTTCGAGGACGAGGAGCACGCCAAGGGCAAGGTCGACTGGTACGCCTTCGACCTGATCCTGGACGACTTCGACATGGGGCCCGGCGACGGCACGGTGGAGGGCGAGGCCGCGTCCAAGGCCGAGAAGCTCGAACTGTTCAAGGAGGCGCTCGGCGTCGACGAGCTCGAGGAGCAGGATTTGGTGCTGACGGACGCGAAGCGCTTCGCCATGACGCTCTGGAAGGCGGGCAAGTTCAAGCAGCTGCGCAAGCACGAGGTCGTGGCCGAGGCGCCCGTCGAGGCCGTCGTCGAGCGACCCCGGGGGCTCACGAACGGGAACCTGGGGCTGGCGCTGCGCGTCCTGGACCTGTCGTGGAACCGGCTGCACGTCGCCGACGAGCTGCGCGTGCTCGTGTCCGTGTGCCCGAACCTGGAGGTGCTGGACGCGTCGTACAACAGCTTCGGCGACGGCGGCGTCGTCGCGATCCTCGCGGCGGCGGACTTTTCGCCCGAGCCGTCGAACTTCGTGGCGCTGAAGCTGCGGGGCAACGGCGTGGGCCCGCGGGGGGCGCATCTCCTGGGGGACCTGGTCCGGCGGCGCGCCGCGGACGCGCCGCGGCTGGAGCTGCTGGACCTCGCGTCGAATCGCCTCGGCGCGTTCGGCGCGCGCGCGCTGCTGCGCGCCGCGGCCCTCGAGGACGGCGGCGGCGTCTTCGAGGCGCGGCCCCTGGCGCTGGACATGGACGACTGCGCCGTCGACGCGGACGTGCCGAGCGACGGGTCCGTGCCGCCGACCTACGACCCGGACGACGCCGGCGCGATCGACGACGCCGCGGAGGTGCCGCTCGACCCCGCGACGACGGCGCCGGACGTCGGCGTGGCCTTGCGCAACGCGCTGCGGGCCGTGGCGCGCGATAACGCGCTGCGCTTCGAGAGCCTGGAGTGGTGCCGCATGGCCGCGTCGGGCAACGAGCGCCGCGACGAGCGCGAGCGGACGTGGCTGCCCGTGAAGCTGACGCGCGGCGCGATGCCGTCCGTGGGGCACACGCGGAGCGGGAGCCTGTGCGCGTCGCGGGGCGGCCACGCGCCGAGCCCGCCCTACCTGAAACTAGATTTGGAGGATCCGGCGAACGAACTGTTCCTGAAGACGAACCCGAACGCGGCGCCGCTCGGCGACCGCGCGTTCGTCGTGCCGCGGACGGGCACGATGCGCTTCAAATTGGCCTACGCGCCGCGGCAGCCGAGCTTACTAGCCTGCCCGACGGAGACGGGCTTCGACGCTTTACGGGCGCTCGTGGGCGCGAAGCCGGCGCACCTGCTGCAGCACGCGCCGTTCCTGACGACGCGGCAGGTCGAGAAGCTGCTCCAGCGCCTCGGCCACGACCCGCAGCCGCCGAATTTGTGCGAGATCTACGGCCACGACGACGAGCTCAAGGAGCGGCCCCTGAGCGATTTGGTGCACCTGCTGACGGTGCTGCTGCCGCGCGTCGTCGACGTCGACGCGTCCGCGCGATTGATCCGGGCCTACGCGCCCGCGCGCGCGTCGCAGCGCGCGCTCGCGCGGGCCCTGGGGCCGGCCTACGGGCCCCTCATCGGCGCGCCGAACGGGCGCTACGCGCTGGACCTGAGCCTGGCGACGCACAAGCTCGCGCTCCGGGCGGTTCTAGAGAGGGTCGCGTCGGAGAAACGCGTCGCGCTGGAGGTGCGCGGCTGCGGCCTCCACGAGCGCATCCGCAACGTCAGCTTCCGCCCCGACGACCCGGCCAAGCGGGCGCGCGCCGAGGCGCTCACGCGGGGCAAGAACACGATGGCCAAGGACACGCCGCGGCCGCGCGACGTCGCGCCGCTGTTGCGCGCGCTCCTCCGCGGCCGCGACGTCGAACTGGGGGCCGTGCTCAAGGGCGGCGCGCTGACCTTCGACGTGTCGTCGTCCGCGCGGCCGGACGCGGCGCACGCGACCTTGGCGCCGCGCGACGTCGTCCACCGCGCGTCGAACGCGGACCTGCCGACGCCCTGCCGGCGCCTCGTCCGCGCCTTCGCCATGGATGATGATGTTTTGATCGACCACGCGAAGAACGCGGAGCGCGCGTCGACCTACGACCGCGCGCGCCCGGAGCCCGCGTGGCTCGAGGAGCCGAGCCGATCCGCCGTCGTCGCGTCGATCCAGCGCATGTGGGCGACGACGAAGCGGGTCCGCGAGGCGAAGCGGAGGTTGGAGGCCGCCCAGAAGAAGGGCGCCAAGAAGGGCCGGAAGGGCAAGAAGGGCGCCGGGGAGGAGAAGCCGAAGGCGCCGCCGAAGGCGCCGCCGAAGGAGCCGCCGACGGCGCCCGCGCCCGCGGCCGACGCCGCCGCCGAGGCGGCCGCCCCGGAGGACGGCAAGAAGGCCGCGAAGAAGAAGAAGAAGAAGAAGGGCGGCAAGAAGAAGAAGGGCGCGTCCAAGAAGGCCTCGCCGGAGAAGCCCGCGGCGCCCGAGCCGCCCGCGTCGCCGCCCAAGTCGCCGTCCAAGCCCGCGACGCCGTCGTCGCTCGTCAAGAGCAGCAAGATGTGGAAGCTGACGCTGGGCCGGGGCGTGCGGTCGAAGATCGTGAGCCGCGACGCGCTCGCGCGCCTCGTCGCCGTGCGGAAGCGCGACGACGGCGTCGTCAAGTTGAAGGACCTGCTGGACCGCCACCTGGGCATCGAGTCCCAGGGCGACCTGAAGCGCGCGCTGATCCGGCGCTTCGACCGCAACGACCGCTGCGCCATCGGCGACCTCGAGGCGACCGCGCGCGAGCACTTCCGCGCGCACCCCGTGACGCTGCACCGGACGCCGTGCACGTCGGACCTGCTCCCCGTGTCGGCCCAGGACGCCGCGGTCCGCGACCCCCACGGCGAGGACGAGCTCCTGTCGCTGCGGCTCCACTTCGCGGACGTGGCCCTCACGTCGGGCCAGCTCGCCTACGTCATGGCGACGTACGCGGGCGACGGCGGGCGCACGGCGCCGAACTACGACGGCCTGCGGCACCCCGTCGACGAGGCCAAGGCCGCGGACGTCGTCCACGCCCTGTATCCGCGGCTCGTGGACCCGGGCCGCTTCGCGCGCGACGTGCTGCCGTGCCTGACGGCGACGCTGCGGCGGACGATCACCGCGCGTTTGGGGTGCTTCGCGGTCGTGCGGCCGCCGCCCGTGGAGCCCTGCGAGGACGCCCAGGTCGCGTCGGGCGGGCCCTGGCTCGCGCTGGACCTCGGGCGCGACGACCACCGGGGCCTCGCGCGCGTCGCCGCGGTCCTCGCGTACTACGAGGGCTCGGACCTCCGCTGGGGCTTCTACCGGCCCCAGCTCGGCGCGGCGTCCAAGTGGGTCGAGAACTGGTCGCTGCCCGAGTCCTGGCGCACGGAGACGGGCGACAAGGTGCCGACGACGGGCGAGCTCGCCTTCGACGACCTCACGCTGCCCAAGGAGCCCGACATGTTGTTGCGCGCGAAGCTCCGGCGGCGCCTGTTCGTCTACGAGTCCCCCGGCGCGCGGGCCAAGCGCGACACGACGGAGTACCTCGCCCACTGCGCGTCGTCGCCCCACGTCCAGGCGGGCGACGAGCGCGAGTTCGACCAGGACCCGGACGCGGTCTTCGCGGGGTTGGTGCGGCCCAAGTACGAGCGCCAGGCGCGGATCATCCAGAAGAACTGGCGCGCGTACCGCAAGCGCAAGAAGCGGCGCGTGGACAAGAAGCCCGTCGCCTACGGCCACGCCAAGGTCGCCGGCTGCAGCCCCGTCCTCGACATGTTCGCAAAATTACAAAAGGGCGGCAAGGTGAAGCCGCCGCCGCCCGTGACGCTCGCGCAGGTGCTGAGCCGCGTGAACCAGGTCGTCGAGGACAAGGCCGTCCAGGACGCGGCGACGGAGGCCGTCGCCAAGTGGAAGCACCGGCCGAAGCCGAGCCTCGCGGCCTACCTGGCGAACTGGCACGTGATCCACTTCGGCGCCGCGCTCGGCGTGTCGCGGCTCCACGAGCTGCTCCACACGCTCCACGTCGTCACCTACTTCGCCCAGCAGGCCGACGGGCGCCGGGGCAAGAAGGGGTCGAAGCTCCTGCGCGTGCGGCGCTTCCGCCAGTTCTCCGACATCTTGGGGCTCACGCCGCGCGCGGAGAAGTGCTACGCGCCGATGCTCGCGGAGTGCTACATCGTCTTCCTGCGGTCGATTTTAGGCCACCCCAAGGGCATCGCCGCGGTGCTGGCGGCGCCCCACGCGGACACGGTCGAGGGCCACCTCGTGCCGCTCCAGGACGTCGTCGTCGCGCTCGTGGGCTACGACAAGCGGGTCGTCGCCGAGGACCCGACGACGTGGACGTCGCCGCTCGCGGCGCTCGCGCGGCCCTGGCTCGACGAGGAGACGATGTACGACCTGTTCCTGAAGATTCGCAAGGTCGCCGAGCGGGGGAAGAAGAGCATCAAGGACGCGGGCGACCACCCCGTGCCCGCGCTCGACGTCGAGGACGCGCTCGAGCTGCTGCTCGACGCGGTCTTCAGGGCCGCGGCCCAGACGCAGGCCTTCCTCCGGACGGAGCTCGCCAACTGGCTCTCCGTCGACGGGCGCCTCACCTTCGACGACTTCAAGCGCTTCTTCCCGGACCTGCCGGGCGCGGCCGCGGTCTCGGAGCTCGCCGTCGCGACGCTCTTCGCGGCCGTCCAGGACCGGGCGGACACGAACGAGTCGAACCGCGTGAAGATCGACCCGGAGAAATTCGCCATGCACTGCTGGGCCCACCACGTCCTCCCGAGCCCCGCCTACGTCGAGCGGAAGCCGCCCAAGGTCGAGGCGACGGCGAAGAAGCACCACATGTTCGCCCAGCTCGACGGCCTCGAGTTCGCCGAGCTCGAGCACATCACCAAGGGCACCGTGGACTAGGTAAGGGCTGCCAGTGCGCTTAGGCGGGCCGCGGCGTGTGGGGTGCGGCGGCCGCGGGACGCGGGCCCGTCACCAGCCGCCGTCGCCGTCCTCGCCGGCCTTGGGGACGACGAAGGACGCGGAGGACCAGTCGGTCTCGATCTTGTAGGGGTCGGAGACGAGCGTGCCGTCGGCCGTGGCCTTGGACAGGACGACCATGTCCAGCGCGCGGCAGTCGCGGTAGAAGAGGACGCGGAGGCAGTCCTCGAGGAGCGCGCGCGCCTCGCCCTCGTCGATGTCCGCGTGCCACTTGGCGCGCATGATGGGCAGCGCGAGGTGCGCGCCGAAGCCCGTCGCGATGACGTCGTCCTCGTACGCCGTGCCCCGGAGGTCGACGGACCCGAGGAACGCCTTGCCGTCCTTGTAGCCGCCGACGACGAGCGAGTTCCAGAGCGGGTTGAACTTGTTCCGCGCCTGGTACATGACCGCGCGCAGGTAGCTGTAGATCTCCACGGGGCTGTGCTCGAAGCCGTCGTTCGCGTTCAGGTTGTCGCGCTCGAGGCCCTCGAGCTTCCGGAGGATGGCGTGGTAGTCGCTCATCTCCCCCGACGCGCCGACGAGCGTGTAGGAGCCCGTCTTCGAGATGCGCTGCACGTCCTTGAACATGGCCAGGGACCCGTAGGACGCGAGCGTGTCCGCCGCGAGCATGACGCCGTCCTTGTACTGCGGAGGGGCGCGCGCGCGCGGTCCTCGACGGTTCGCGCTCTTTCGCGGGACGCGGGGCGGGCGCGCCTTGATGCCGAGGACGGACGTGCCCGTCACGATGGGGCGCGACGTGTGCTGGCGCGGCGGCGCCGACGGCGACGACGAGACGACATTGTTGGCGCGCGCTGCGATGGGGGCGGCGGGTCCGCGGGGCCCGGGGCGGATTTTTTCGCGTCGCGACGCTGGCGGGTCACCGGGTTCGTGCCCGGCGAACAACATCGTCGCGAGGAGCGCTACGGCGGCGCGCGCGACCGTCTTTATTCTACGCCGCGAGCGTCCACCGATGGTCTCGGGCTGGAAGGGGCCGCGCGGCCGTCCGGCACCGAGGCCTGCACCGGCAGAGGGGGCCGACCACCAGGCATACACCAGCCACGGCATACACCAGCATAGCAGCCGCATAGCAGCCGCATAGCAGACGCATAGCGGGCGCATAGCAGACGCATAGCAGGCGCATAGCAGGCGCATAGCAGACGCATAGCAGGCGCATAGCAGGCGCATACCACCAGCATAGCAGCCGCATAAGACCAGCATAGCAGCCGCATACCACCAGCATAGCAGGCGCATAAGACCAGCATAGCAGCCCACCAGCATACCACCAGCGTAGCAGCCGCATACCACCAGCATAGCAGCCGCATACCACCGGCATAGCAGCCGCATACCACCGGCATAGCAGCCGCATACCACCGGCATAGCAGACGCATACCACCCGCATACCACCAGCATACCACCAGCATACCACCCGCATACCACCCGCATACCACCCGCATAAAGCCCGCATAAAGCCCGCATAAAGCCCGCATAAAGCCCGCATAGCGGGCGCATACTACCAGGCATACCGGCGGTCAACCCCCTCGGTGCACCGGTACCGGCGCCGTCCGACGAAGGCCGCGACGACGTCCGAATGCGCGTACTTATGCGCGAGGCCTTCGCGGCGGGGGAGGCCCGAGGCATTAAGCGCCAACCCCCACACGTCGCGATCGCTGCGCCAGAACGTGGGGACGTGCGCGAAGACGTCGTCGTCCCGGCCGAACACGGCCGCGTCCCAGGCGTCCTGATGCTCGTCGTCGTCCTCAGGCTCGGCGTCGCCGTGTGCTTGAAACGCGGCCGCGGGTCCGCCAAGGCCGACCTCAAGCCCCCGTCGGGGGTCGACGTGGAGCTCCAAGTGAACCCCGTGGTGACCCAGGCTCCGTCGAAAGACTGATCGCCGTCGCCACCTAGCATATATATCCCGCCGGCGGGGTACTAGTATGTTAAACGGCACCGGTGGCGATGCGCGACAAGTACGCCCGCTGGATCTCGTTCCGGCCCCTCATCTCGCTCGGCGGGCTTGACTCGAGGCTAGCTCGGCCCCATCGAGGCCGTTTCGCGGTAACCTAAACGTTTTTTTAATGGGCGGCGCCCCATTTGCGAATCGAAAAGGTTACCGAACCCCCGGCCAAGTCTCTATTTTCTAGGATTTTTTGAAGATAACGATGAGCGCGGGCGCTTCGTAGAGCATGGGCGAGTCGCCTCTTTCGGCGCGCAATGCGGGTGTCTCGGGGCATACGATCCCTGCTTCCTCCGCTGGATGTCCACCGCGTGCTGGCATGTCGATGATTGGTCGAATCGCCGGCAAACTTTGTGGGATTGGGTGTGTGATCATGGGCCACAAAGGGAGGGCGTTTATGTACGGGAACGGCTGATGAGGCCCGAAATAAATTCTTCCCAACCGCTGGATGCCCCGCTGGACGCGAGGGGGTCGCGGCTTCGAATCTCCCTTCCGCGAAGCGGCGCGGACGGCGCGGACGGCGCGGACGGCGCGGACGGCGCGGACGGCGCGGACGGCGCGGACGGCGCGGACGGCGCGGACGCGGCACGGGGTCACTTTTTTTGTTCCAACGAGTGATCTCACGGATGAAATAAGATCTCCGATGCTGGGAGAGGTCGACAGAGAGATACGACCCCGACTCCGCGGACAACGAGGCCGGGCGCTGCGCACCGTGGCCCGAGTGCGTGACCGCGCCGCAGGAGCCATCCGAGTTCCCCGACGCTCTGCGTTCCTGTTAGCCCCCCCCCGGTCCCTACGGCCCTGATGGAGCGGCCTGCGCCGGCTCGGGGTCGCTCTGGTGCCGTTTGGAGTCTAGCCTGGCGTACTTATCGTGCTTCGCCACTTGCGGTCTTCAATCATGGGGCCTGGTGTCCTGTGGCCTCAGACTTTACACGAGAGGGATGCCTGTTTTTTTGCCGAGTTTCGTCTAGAGCGATATAGTGAGCTCCCAACGCAGCCCCATCACCGGCTAACGCAGCAGCAGCGGCGCGCAAAGGCGCCGACGCCGACGGGCAGCAATCGGGCTGCTCCTTCGGCATGATGAAGTCGCGGCGACATTGCACTCGTGACGATGATGGCCATGACGAAGGTCATTCGGCCGCTGCAAGTGCTCGCGCTGCTTCTCGCACAGACCCGAGCGCTCTCGACCATTGCAAAGCCATTGACGACGACCTCTTCTTTAAGAGCGCCGGGCCTCCTGACGACGCCCGTGGAGTCGCTGCGGAGCCTCATCGGCGAGGCGCGGACGCGCTCCGTGTGGAAGGCGCTGCGCGAGGGCCGGGACCCGTGCGTCCAGGAGGAGACGCCCGAGCTGTCGCGGTGGACGCGCGAGACGCTGACGGCGGCCTACGGCTCGGGCGCGGACGCGCGCTGCGCGGACGCGCGGACCGCCGAGGACGGGACGACGAAGCTCCTCGTGGAGTTCGGCGACCGCGACGCCGTCGAGGCCGTGCTCATCCCGCAGCTCACGCGCGGCAAGGCGACGTCGACGTTGTGCGTGTCTTCCCAGGTCGGCTGCGCCATGGGCTGCGCGTTCTGCGCGACGGGCAAGATGGGCCTGATTCGGTCGCTCACGGACGACGAGATCGCCGCGCAGCTCTGGCTCGCGCTGCGCGCGGCGCGGAGCGTGCCGGACCTGCCGCCGCTGCGGTCCATCGTCTTCATGGGCATGGGCGACGCGGGCACGAACCCGAAGCACGCCAAGGCCGCGGCGGAGTGCTTCACGGACCCGGACCGCTTCGGCTTCTCCCGGCACCGCCTGACGCTCTCGACCGTGGGGCCGTCGCCGTCGGCGTTCCTCGCGCTCGCCGCGGCGCCGGGCCAGCTCGCGTGGTCCGTGCCAGGGCAGCACAAGAGAGCGAAATTCCCAACTTCAAAGGCTCCGATCTCGGCCATTTTCCACTCGTTTCGGCTGATTTTTGGACGAGCGATCATCTCTCGGAACGGTCTCGAAGCGTGGATGTGTTTTCCGTAACGCGCGCGCGCGGAAAACTCACATTGAAGCGACGTTTTATCACTCTTGTGCTGCCCAGGTCCGTGCACGCCGTCGACGCGGACCTGCGCAAGCGGCTCGTGCCGACGGCCGCCTGGGAGCCCGAGGCGCTCCGCGACGGTCTCTTGGACGCGCTCCGCGCGACGCGGCCCATGCACTCCAAGGAGCGGAGCGTCATGCTGGCCGTGACGCTGTTGGCGGGCGTGAACGATAGCTTGGAGCACGCGCGCGCGCTCGCGGAGTTCGTGCAGCCGGTGAGAGCGGAAACGCCGCGGCTCATCGTCGACCTCATCCCCTACAACCCCATCGACGCCGCCGACGCCTTCCAGCGGCCGTCCTTCGACGCCGTCAGCGCCTTCCAGCGCGAGCTCAAGGCCCACGCGCCGGGCCTCTTCATCGGCGTCCGCAACGCGCGCGGCGACGACGAGGCCGCGGCCTGCGGCCAGCTCGCGACGAACGCGCAGAAGCGGCGAAGGTGAGGTGCTGTTAATACACGCTTCTGTTTTGTTTGTCTACACGAGGATGCATGCATGCGCTTGCAAGAACGATCGTGATTCGATGGATCAATCGCCTCAAGAAACCGGAGTTGCCGCAAGGGCAGCCCTGCGTCGCTGCGATGGTGGAGGATTCGGACGACCATGGCGACACTTCGTCGTGCGACGACGTCAACGCGTCGGCGTCGTCGTGCGAGGCTGAGCCGGTGTGCTCGCCGCAGCCGGAGAAGCGGGCGGCGAGCACGCCGTGGAGCGTCGTCGACGCCCTCCTGGGCGTCGCGCTCGCCGGCGCCATCGTCGGCCTCGTGCTCGCCGCCTACGCGCCGATGCTGGACGCGTACCTGGGCTGGGGCCTGGCCGGCGAGTGGGACGACCGGTCCAACTTCCTCGAGAACGAGCTCGTGCGCAAGCCGCTGAGCCGCGAGCTCCTGCGCAAGATGTTCGCCGCGGAGCGCGTCAACGTCTTCGAGCCGCTGGGCTGGCTGCTCAAGGCGCTGGTCCAGCGCGCGACGGCGGACCTCGAGGAGGCGTCGGGCCTGCTCACGGTCAACGCCTGGTGCCACCGCATGGCGACGCTCGGGCTGCACGCGGCGTGCGCCGTCGCGCTCTTCGCGGTCTGCGCCGCGGTCCTGGACGCCGCGGCCGTGGGCGCCACGCCGCGCCGCCGGCGCGTGGCGGCGGCGGCGGCGGCGGCGTGCTGGGCGCTCCACCCGGTCCACGTCGAGGTCGTCGGCTGGACGTCCGCGCAGCCGTACCCGCTCGCGGCGTCGTTCATGCTCGCGGCGCTCTGGACCCACGTCGCGCTCCTGCGCGCGGAGCGACGCGGCGGGCGCACGGCGGTCTTGCGCGTCGTCGGCCCGACGCTCTACCTCTGCGCGACGCTCTCGAAGAGCGTGACCATCCCCGCGCCCGCGGCGGTCTTCGCGCTCGACCTCGTCCTGATCCGAGCGCGCGCGCTCCGAGCCCGCGCGGGCCACCTCCTGGGCTACGCCGCCGTCACGGCGGCCATGGTGCCCGTCACGCTCCGCGCGAACCGCCTCGGCCACGACCCGGACGCGGACGTCATCCGCCTCGACCGCGTCGAGCAGCGCGCGGCCAAGGGCCTCGTGACGATCTTCTTCTGCCTCTCCAAGGCCGCCTACCCGGCGAAGCTCAGCCCCCACTACACGCAGCGCGACCTCTACTTCGAGCCGGGCCACGACGACTCCGAGGTCTGGGTCGCCGCGGCCGCGTTCGTCTTTTTGAGCGGCGCGGCGGCCGCGCGGTGGGCCGCGGGCGTCGACCGCGGCGCGGCGCTCGCGGCCTGGGTCCACGTCGTCGCCATGTTCCTGCCGACCTGCGGTCTGATCCAGCACGGCATGATCCAGAAGGGCGGCGACCGCTACCTCTACCTGCCGTCGCTCGCGATGGCGCCGCTCGCGGCCGCGTCGCTCGCCTCGAGCTTCGACGCGGGCGCGGCGCGGGGCCGGCCGCGGGCGCTCGTCGCGGGGCTGCTCGCGCTCGTCGGCTTCGCCGCCGCGCTGGGCGCCGCGGCCAAGGCGGACCGCGAGCTCTGCCAGATCTGGCGCAACGACGTCGTGCTCCTGGAGCACTGCGTCCGCGCGGACCCCTACGACTGGCGGTGCCTCGACACGTACGCGGAGTACCTGCTGCACCACGGCGACAACCATCGCAGCAGCGCGGACCTCCTCGCGCGGGGCCTGCGGGCCGTGGACGACCTGCGCGTGCCGCGGAACCCCAAGGTCATGGTCTTCCGGGGCAAGTGCCTCCTGCTCCTCGGCCAGAGCGACGAGGGCTGCCGGCTCATGCACGAGGTCACGGAGCTCTACCCGCACGCGCCCTACGCCTGGAACAACGCGGCCATCTGCGACCTCATCGACCCGGCCCTCCGCGACTTCCAGGGCGACAAGTTCCAGCGCGCGCTCGACCTCGCGGTCCGCCACGAGCACAAGAGCGCCGCGGCGCGCAACCTCGAGGTCTACGTCGCCTGGCGCGACGGCGGCTACCACGGCCAGTTCGACGGCACGCTCGTGTATTAAGCGCTAGTTCCGGATCCGGGCCGTGAGTTCGACGGCACGCTCGTGTATTACTACTATTAGGTGTTAGTGCCGGATCCGGGCCGTGCCGCCCATCCCGATGCCGCCCATGGGCTTCCCGCCGTAGAGCCCGCGCGCGCCCGTGTTCTTGGCGCCCGCGTTGGCCCACGTGTCCTGGCCGGCGTTGCGCTTCGACAGCTTCGGGGGCTCGAGCTTGGGCGGCTCGACGTCGCGCGGCGCGGCCGTCGGCGGCGCGCCGATGTTCCGGGGGTCCGGCGCGCCGAGCTCGCACGTCGGGTCCGGCGGCGCCGCGCCGCCGCCGCCGCCGCCGGACTGCTCCCGCGGCAAGTCGTCCTCGGGCGTGAAGGTCTCCGTGTCGTCGGTCAGCGACCCGTCGGTCTTCGAGACGGCCGTCGCGAACGCGGCGGCCGCCGAGACGGCGACCTGCGCGTCGCGGAGGTCCGCCAGGGGCTCGTCGACGAGCGACCGGCCGCCGAGGGACTCGGGGCCGTAGATCTTGATCTGCGGCGTTTCGTCCGCGTCGCAGTTCTCGTCCGCCTCGCACTCGGCGACGAGGACGGCCGCGCCCGCGTGCCGCAGGCTCCGCGCCCGCGACGCGAGCGCCATCTCCACGGCCGAGGCATGCGGGCTCGCGCCGTCGACGAAGAGGATCGCGCGCGTTTTGTTCAGGTTCGTCGTTTGGAACTCCGCGAAGGCCTCGGCGTCCTCGGCCCTTTCGAGCGTCGCCGCGGACGCGACCAGGCGCGCCGACTGGCGCGCGAAGGCCGCGAGTCTCGCCGGAATGTTGTCCAGCGTCGCCTCGATCGTCACGCGCCCGAACGACTGGCGCCACGCGTCCCAGGCGGGCGTGCCCCCGTTTTCGACGAGGGAGCCGATGCGCGGCGTCTCGGAGAAGCCCGGCTCGACGCTCTTGCAGACGGCGTCCTCGAAAACGGCCGCGTAGCCCTTGCGCTGGAAGCTGCCCCCCGCCTCGGCGTGGTGGCCGCACGCGAACGCGCCGAACTTGACGTCCACGTCCGCCGGATGCGGGCCGGCCTTGACGGCGCGCGCGCCGAGTTCGACGAGAGGCGCGACGGTCCGCGACATCATGCATCCCGGATTGTACAGAAAAATCACCCAGAGCGTCGTGGTGTCGGTCACGGCGAGGCGGACGGCGCCGTCGTCCTCGACGGTAATATCGCCGGGCGTCGTCAGTTCGAACACATCGCGCGAGGACCCGAAGAGGCCGTCGTCGGTCTCCTCGTCGAGGCGGAAGCGTTCCCGCGCCTGCTCGTCCGAGTTCTTCAGCCCGTCGTAGGCGTCCTGGGCCGCGCGGAAGAGGTCGTCCGCGCGCGCGAGGGCCTCCGGGTCGTCGATCTTGGACGCGAGCGCGCCGCGCTTGTCCGGGTGCAGGACGCGGCCCATTTTGCGGAAGGCGGCCTTGCAGTCCTTGGCGCTCGCCGCTCGCGCGACTCCGAGCACGGCCCACGGCGCCATCGCGGCGATCGCGCGCGCGGGCCGCGACAGGAGGTCGACGATGCGCGCGAGGGCCGCGTCGCCCTCGTAGCGCGCGTCGTCGTCCGCGCACGCGAGTCGCCACATCGTCGCCGGCAGCCCCTTGGACGCGTCGGCGGCGCCGGGCTCCTCGCCGCACTCCGTCCACTCGGGCTTGTCGTACGACGGCTTGCCGAACGCGGCGCTCGTCAAACAATGCGGCCGCGCGTGTCTCCTCGTGCTCGGTCGGCGCCCGATGTTCACGACGTCGGCCCAGGCGGGCACGCCGGCGTCGAACGCGTTCCGGAGCCGGAGGACGTCGCCGCCGAAGGCGGGCGGCTCGTCGGGCGCACGCACCTCGCCGGGAAACTTGAGCGATTGCTTCTTCGCGAACTTTTCGTCGCCAAAGTCCGCGCTGATGCGCGCGCCCGAGACCGCGTGCTCGAGGATCACCAGGGTCTCGCCTTCGGCCGACTCGAACGCCGACGGCCGCCAGAGCCGCTCCGCGCGCTCGGACGCGTCCGTCGCGTCGCAGGGGAGGAGCAGGAGGCCGTCGCGCGACGGCGGCGGCGCCGCGGCGTGCGCCTCCTCGGCGAGGAAGACGAGCGGGAAGCGACGGTTGATGCGCGCCGAGTACGCGTAGTCGGGCGTGGGCCGCACGGCCACGACGACGCCGTCGACCAAGCGCCCGTGCCGGTACACGTCGCCCGTGCCGTCGCCGTCGACGTGCTCGCGGAACCGGATCGCGTCGCCGACGCCGAAGCGGTAGGGCTTGAGTGTGCCGCCGCCGCACGCGCAGCAGTGCTCCGCCGCCGAGTCGGCGCCCGCGCCGCGCGCGCCGAATCGTTCGCACCATTTCTCGCCGTCGGCCTCGGCCCGCGCGTACGCCGCGCACCCGTTCGAGCCGTCGGTCCACGCCTTCGTGTCCTCGCAGACCGGCGTCGCCGCCGCGTCGTCGCCCGCCGCCACGGCGCCGCTGTCCACGCTCAAGCAGCTGAAGCCCCGCGACTCGACGGACTCGATGGTCACGTTCTCGCAGGCCGAGAGCAGGGAGAAGAGGTCGTTTGCGTACGTAGTTGCGAGCAGGGCGAGCAGGGGCTTGAGAACGAAGCGCATGATTTGCGGCGCACGAGATCTATACGTCCGTGGAGGGCGACGACGCCGACCTCGGCCTCGAGATTTTTGTCGAGATTTTTGCCGTTTTTTTTCGGCGAGCAGCCGTGCCAAGCCCGCCGAGGCTGGAGGCGCGGCCGACGGCGGCCGCCTGACGACGGGGCTCCTGCGGTAGGCGTCGGAAGTAACGGACTCGCGCTACTGGTGCTTTGGAGTAGCTTACTCGCAGTAGTCCTAGAGAATTAGAGCGGCCCTATGCGTGCGGGCGGCCAGAGGCGGAATGTCGGCCGGCCGACGAGGTAGCGCCGGTCCAGGTCGCCCCAGATGCGGCTGTCGACGCTGACGCTGTCGCAGTCACCGCGGACCCAGACCGCGCCCGGCGCGACGGGCCCGTCCCGGCGCCGCGCGTTCGCCGCGACGGCGTCCGCGAGCGCGGGTTTGGGCGGCTCGCGGCAGGCGGTCGGCGCGTCGGCGCGCGCGTCGCGCGGCGCGAAGTCTGCCGCGTCGCCGGGCAGGCCCGCGACGCGCTTCACAAATTGTGCGCTCGGCGCCACGGAGCCGCCGACGAGCTCGCGGAGCGCCGGCGGCTGGTCGAAGACGACGACGTCGCCGCGCTCGGGCAGCGCCATGCGCCGGAGCCCGACCTTGTCGACGAGCAGGACGTCGTTCTTCGCGAGCGCCGGCGCCATGCTCTCGCTCGGGATGACGTAGACGGACGCGTAGGTGCGCGCGAGGAGGACCAGCGGGATGGGCGCGACGGCGGAAAGCAGCCACGCGACGACGAGGCTGACGGCCTTGGCGCCGTCGCCGCCGACGGCGGGGTTCGACGCGACGTCGCGGCCGACGCGCGCGGGAAACGCGAGCGGGTCGAAGCGGTTCCGCCACGTCACGGAGGGCACGCGCGCGTCGATGGCCACGGGCCAGGCGACGCCGTCGACGTTCGCCGTGTTGTCAACGGCGGGCCGTACCGTGAGCGTTTGAGCGTCGCCGCCCCGGAAGCCGCCGGCGATCTCCATGACGCGATACTCGCCGCCAGACGCGAGCGGTTTCAGCGCGGCCTCGCCCGCCGGCGAGTCGGCGACGGGCACGAGGACCTCGCCGCTCCGGAAGCCGTCGCGCCCGGGCGCCGCCGCCCGGGCGACGGCGCCGACGGCGCCGCGGAGCGACGACGACGTCTCGCCGGACCGCGCCGCCCAGACCGCGATCTCGCCGCGGATTGTCACGGACGCGTCAAGCGGCGGCCAGGCGTGCGCGCCCCAGTCCGCCGCGCGGCCGCAGGATTCCACGGCCTCCGCGGGGCCGCAGAACGTCATCGCGCCGCGCCACGCCGGCGACCCGCCGGGCGCGGCGCCGCCGCAGCCCGCGGACGTCGCGACGACGGCGCCGCCGGCGACGACGGACAGCGCAAAGGACGCGTCGACCTCGTCGCCGGGCCGCCGCGGCACGTAGCGCAGGTAGACGGCCGCGCCGCGCGCGCCCGTGAGGCCCCGCGGGTAGTAGTCGACGCGGAACCGCGCGGCGCCGCAGTCCGTGGCGACGACCTCCGACGACGCGAAGGGCACGTCGCCGCCGAGCGCGTCCTTGAGGCTCCGCGGGTTGTCCCAAAGCGACTGGTCGTTCCGCCGCGTCGTGAGCGCGGCCTCGAAGGTCGTGACGGACTGCGGCGTCGCGAGCGCCGCCGTGGGAGCGGTGCGTGCCATCGACCGAGGTGCGGCAAACGCTGCGACGCGAGGCGGTGCGAACGCTGCGACGCGCGACAATACTGCAAAAACGACCGCAGCGGCACGCGACGGCGCCATCACGCCGCCACCGCAGCTCTTAGCGCAGAGCTCGATCTCCCAAGGCATCATGAACGTCAACTTGAAGGAAATATGGCTGCGACGGGTGTTGGCGAGTGCCTCCTCGAAGTCGAGCTTCCGTAGCCTCGCGGGCGTTTGTTGTTCTGCTGTTGGCGTTGTGGGCGTGATGCGCGGCAGGGAGGACATGGTCAGCCGGCCGCGCTGGGGTGGGGCTTTAAAGAGACCCGCTAGAAAAGGCAAAAGTTTGGGTTTCCAATTTAGATTATCGGCGCGCTTCGGGCGAAAGTGTCCGGTGCTCTGTCGCGCTCAAAAGCGCTCTCTCTTAGCGCCGTCCCCCCCGAGACGCGTAATAATTCGCTGACCTGGGGCGATGGACATGTTCAACCCGTCGCGCCCGCCGCCGATCCTCACGGACCAGCCCCCCCTGAAGCGGGCCCGCATCCCCCAGGTCGTCAACGCCGTGTCGCCGCTGCACGGGGCCCTGGGGGGCCAGCTCAACGCCTGCTACGACCCCGTGATGATCCTCAAGGCCGCGCAGTTCCCGCACCCCTTGTCGGCGCCCCTCGCCGGGTCCTCGGCCCGCGTGGTGACGCCGCAGCGGGGCGCGGCCCTCGGCGGCCTCGCGGCGGGCGTGCCGCTGCCGGCGACGTCCCCTTCGCGGGCGTCCGGGCGGCCCGCGGCGGCCAAGACGGGCCGCTGGACGAAGCGCGAGGACGAGAAGCTGCGCCAGACCATCGAGGCGTCGGGCCCCGACGAGGGGGCCCGGGACTGGGCGAAGATCGCCGCCGCGGCCTTCGAGGGCGGCCGGTCGCCGGGCCAGTGCGAGGACCGCTGGGAGAAGGTCCTCAAGCTCGGCCTCGTCAAGGGGCCCTGGACGCCCCACGAGGACGAGGTCGTGCGCCGCGCCGTCGGCGCGGGCGTCGACGCGGCCTTCAACTGGTCCGAGGTCGCCAAGCTCCTCCCGGGCCGGCTCACGAAGCAGGTCCGCGAGCGGTGGCAGAACCACCTCGACCCGCAGCTCGTCAAGACGCCCTGGACGCCCAACGAGGACTACCTCCTCGTCTCGCTCCAGGCCGTCCTCGGCAACCGCTGGAACGAGATCTCCCGCGCCTTCCAGGGCCGCTCCGAGAACGCGATCAAGAACCGGTGGAACTCGAAGCAGCGGCGCCGCTTCCTCGGCGCCGCGGCGCCGCCACCGGCGCCGGGCTTCGCCGCCGCGCCCCGGGCCCCGGCCTGCCGCGCGCTGCCGGGCCTCGACGACCCCAAGATGACCGTCGTCAACTTCAAGGAGGCGCTCCTCGCGACCTTCGGCTCCAACGCCGAGCACGAGGCCGCGACGATCCTCCACAAACTCCGCACGGACGAGGACCGCGTCGACTCGCCGCGCGCCCTCGCCGCCGCGGCGTGAGCCCATCCACATACGCCCCACCGCCGCCCCGTCGACATCGCCCCCCGAGCCCCCGAGGAAAAAAAAAAAAAGTCCGGAGACGCCGCGCCGACCGCGGCGCCCCAGCGCGGGCCCCGCGCCGCGCGGCCGAGCGACCGGCACGCGCCAACCGCACGCCCCTAAACGGCCCTTCACTGTGCGCGCGGGGATGCGATGGTGGGCCGGGGCGCCGGGCGTCGGTCGAGAGGGGGCAGGCGTGCCAAGCCCGAGAGCCCGGCGAAAAATGATTCGGTCCGCTGCCGATCGGAGCGAGCGTTCCGCGCTCTCCGAGCAATTCAAATGTAAAACGTCGGCGTCAGCACGTCAGCACGCAGAATGCTAATTGTGCAACGTCAACATCACCGCTGCCCCAGTTGGGCTGCCCGAGTGCCGCTGGCCGCAGCGCGCGCAACGCGGCCGCAGTCCGACGCGACCATGTCGTTCCACCGACGCGCCTACGTCTTCCTCGTCGTCTGGTGCGCCGTGCTCGACGGCGTCGCGGCGCAGGACACGACGCGGCGGAACGTCAACAGCGCGCACAAGTCGCGCCGGGGCCGGGACCACCGCATGGCGAGGTATCGCATGGACCTCTACAAGCGGCTGATCAAGTACGTCTTCGCCGGCGTCCTCGCGCCCATCGTCCTCACCTTCGCCTACAGCCTCGTCAACGACCCCGCGGTGCCGCAGATCGCGCGGCGCCTCGGCGAGGCCGCGCACGAAAAGTTCTCGACGCGGCTCTCGAGAAAGCCCAAGGCCCGCTAGGCGGACGCGTAAGTGCGCAAATTCAGCAGCGATTCCCTCGCGCGCAGCTTCGGCGTGCGGAAGCGCGCGCGCGCGTTTCGCTCCCCGCCGCGAGGCTCGTTGGACCATTACTCGCGGTCGTCGGCGATGTACCCCTCGAGGGCCTCGACGTCGCGCTTGAGGGCCAGCAGCACGCGCTGCTGGCGGTCGTACTCGATCTCCGCGGCGGCGAGCGTCGCCTTCTGCTTCTCGAAGGTCGTCCGCATCTCCTTGACCTCCTTGCGGACCGCGGCGTCGTCCTTGGCGGCGACGTCCTTGAGGTGCGTCGCCGTGCCCGTCACGGCGGTCTCGTACTTGTAGCGCGTGAAGAGGTAGGTCTCGAGCTCGCTGAGGGCGCCGCGGGGCTCCTTCATGTGCGCCTCGCACTCGAGCTTGTAGAACTCGTCGCGCGGGTACCTGGCGCATCGGACGGTGTGGTCGAGCTAGCGCGCGATCGCTCGTCCGAACATCGGGGGCCGCGGCGTCGATCGGACAGCGCTTCCCCCCCGCGCGCGCTTCCCGCGCCGCGGCCGCGCGGCGGCTCCATGAGCTCCCAGGTGCGCTCGCGCTCGTAGCGCTCAAAGTCCGGCAGCTCCTCCGGCGCCGGCGGGAAGAACTCCTTCTTCTGGACGAAGGTCGGGTGGTTTCGCCAGCGGACGCGGATGTTCGCGCCCTCGGGGATGTCCTCGAGCGACGTGTCGATGGGGTAGCGCTTGTAGGGGCCGACCTCGACCCAGGTGTCGCTCTCGCCGTCGAAGCGGCCGAGGTGCTGGCCCTTCTTCGGGTCGAAGGCCGGGTAGCCCTTGACCTTGGGCCCCCACTCGCCGCCCTCGTCCTGGAGCCGCCGGATGGCCTTGTCCGCGAGCCAGACGACGGGCCGCCAGAGGTCCTTGAGCTCGATGATGTACTGGACGCCCGTGTCGCTCTGGTCCTCCATCTCGCCCATCATGTAGAAGCACTTGGAGCCCTTGGGCCGCTGCTCCATCATCGCCGTGTTGTCGCGCGACTCGGGCATGGAGAAGACGCTGTCCTTGGGCCGCGCGAGCCAGCGCGAGTCCGGCGGGAGGTCGGGCGCCTCCACGAGGGGCAGGTTGTTGGCCTTGTTCGACATGTTGAGCACGCGGAGCTCCGACGCCGACAGCGGCCGCGGGTCGCCGGGCTTGTACTCCTCGAGCTCGCGCGGGATGGGGAAGCCGAGCTCCGTGCGCTTCTCCATGTACTTGGCCTCCTTGATGGCCGCCTCGGCCTTCTTGCGCTCGGCCTTGAGCACGTCCTCCTTGGCGTGCTCCGCGTCGACGTGCTGCTGCATCGCCGCGAGCTCCGCGGCCATCGACGCCTGGACGAGCTTGGGCGTCTCCTTGCGGAAGGACGGGCCGAGCTTCTTCGCCTTCTTCTCCTCCTCGTCCGTGTCGTACTCGAGGGGCGCGTTCTTCCGCTGCTCCTCCTCCATCTTCCGCGCCTCCTCGTAGTACGACATGGTGGCTCGGGAGGACGGCCTCGCGCAAAAAAAGCTCGAGCGCGGTCGACGCTACGTCGCGGCGGCTCCGGCGCGACGGCGCGGGGACGGCGGCGACCGCGTGTTCGCGCGGCGCGGCCGACTTCTCTAAAAGTCGACTACCACCCTCGCAGCAGCCCCGCAGAGCCACCCAAGAGGTATGCACAGTGCACTGCAAGTACTGTCATGATGATCTGGAGCCACCGATAAAATTTAACAAAGGAACTTGCCGTTCACCGAGTCGCCCGTGAGGCGCCCGAAGTCGGCGCACCACGTCGCGTCCAGCGAATCGAAGGGCGCGACGCAGTCGCCGCCCTTCCACGCGTTGCCGAGGGCGAAGGCGAGGCGCGCGACGTTGGACGTGAACTTGCCGACGAAGCCGTCCGCGGCCGCGAGGAGGAAGACGTCGTCGAGGAGCGCGGCGGCGTCGTCGGCGGCGGCGGCGTCGCCCATGGCCCGGAGCACCTTGTTGTAGTAGCCCTGGCCGTAGAGCCGGGCGCGGTCGACGCCGCGGTTCGCGACGAGCACGGGCACGCCGAACGCGTCGCCCGCCGTCGCGTTCGCGAGCACGTCCGCGTCGTCCGTGGCCAGGTAGACGGCCCGGTAGCCGTAGCGCGATATCATGCGCCTCGCGCGGTCCGCGTAGGCCGGCAGGCCGTCGCAGACGCGGCCCTTGTGCTTCCGGAGCTCGTCGCGGCCGCCCTTGAGGCACGTGTCGCCGCGCCTCACGTGGACGCCGAGCACGGGGCCGCGCGACCGCCAGCCGAGCGCGTCCATCGTGCGCCAGACGCGCTCGAGGGTCGCGTCGTCGGGGCGCAGGAGGAACGCCGCGGCCTGCGACGTCCACCAGAAGAGGCCGCGGCCGCGGTGCCGCGCCGGGATCCGCGGCTCCGCCGCCCGCGAGTAGCGCCGCGCGGACTCGGACGCCTTCGGGGCGCTCGCCGGGCAGCGGTCGAGGGGCCGCAGGCCGAGGCACGTGAGGTCGCCGGACGCGCAGCCGACGCGGTCGAGCGCGGGCGTCCGGAACGTCCGCTTTTCGTCCGCGGCGGCCGCGAGGGGCTTGAGGAGCGCTGAGAGCTCGCCGCCGAGGCCGATGGTGCCCTCCATGCGCCAGGCCGCGCCGCCGTCGCAGTCGCAGGCCCCGTCGCGGAGCCAGTCGATTTGAAGCGCGACGGCGTCGGCGTCGAGGCCGCACGCGCGCGGCGGCGGCAGGCCGAGCGTCGACCGGCCGCCGACGGCCGGGCCCGACGCGGCGTAGCCCAGGGTCGCGTTGCGCGCCTCGAGGGCGTCGTAGAAGGGCACGGCGCCGAACGCGCGCGACGCCTCGAGCACGGCGCCGACGGGCAGCCGCGTGTCCCGCGCCTGTGTGGAATTCAAATCTTCAACCCGACTTCAATGCGACATTTTCGACGCAATCTCTTTGGCTGTGCTTCGAGAACTCGACGAGAGCAATCGATTCGTCCAAAAATCAGCCGAATCGACTTCGAATTGACCGAGCTAGAGAATTCTGAAGTTGGTCAGGACCACCCAAACCAGTGGTTGAATTCCACACAGTCCCGCGCCGCGCGGAGCGCGCCGCCGAGGTTGACGCGCGTCGCGTCGAAGGGGTGCGACAGCGACTCGCGGCGGAAGCCCCGCCAGCGGCCGACGGCCGACTCGGGCCGCGACGCGAGCGCGCGCGGCCGGGCCCGCGCCGCCGCGGCCGGCGCCGCCGGCGACGCCTCGTCGTCGGCCCGGCGCCAGTCCGTCTTGTTGGCGCCGCCCTTGGCGTGGAGCGCGTACTCGAAGAGGTGGAAGGGCGACGTGAAGTTCGTCGCGGACGGGCACGGGTGCGCGCGGCCGAGGTCGACGCGGTACTTCGCCGCGATCGCCGCCGCGCTCAGCGCGGCGCCGCCGTCGAGCTGGTGGCGGTCCCGGCGCCCGTCCGCGCGGCCCGCGAGCGCCGGCGCCCAGGCCTCGGCGCAGAGCGCGTACCAGCCCTCCCGGAGCGCCGCGCGCGGCCCGCCGTAGACGTAGTCGCGGACCCACGCGTCGAGCGCGGCGACGGGGTCGGCGCGCGCCGCGAGGTCCGGCGGCAGGAGCGACGCCGCGACGGCCGCGACGCCGCCGTAGGCCGACGGCGCGCCGGCCGCGAGGCCGGCCGCGAGGCCGTCCGCGGCCGCGGGGCCGTCCGGGTGGTCCGTCGGCGCGAGGACCCGATCGTAGACGCAGATGTCGTTGAGGCAGCGCGACCGGGCCGCGTGCGTCGTGCCGTAGTAGCCGCTCCAGGCGCGCACGAAGTCCAAGGCCCTCGTCGACGTCGCGTCGAAGGTGACGAAGCCCGTGTCCGGCAGCGCGCGCTGCGCCGACGCGGGGTCGAAGTACGCCGCGGCCGACCCGCAGCCCGTCGCGTCCGCGGCGTTGGGCACGACGTAGCGGTGGATCGTCGCGACGTCGTGCTTCAAGGCGAAGGCGAGGAAGGCGGCGTCGT